TCCACCTCACCAGCTACTGAGACTGTGCGTGTTTCCCGCCTGAAGCCCTACGTCACGTTCACCGATCCGATGCAACGAGACGGTGCTTTTGCCGCCGGGAGTTATTGTTACGTACATTTTGGTACCAGTGTCGACTAGAGGACGCTTCTAGCCATAGAAGAGGTTGAAGTGTGTCGGGCTCAGAAACGATTGTGACGCACTTGCCTTAGGGCGTCTGCAACTTCATTATGCAACCCTACGCGTGTCAATATTAATGAGAACTAACACACAATCATGTCAACAAATATATAGGAGATGTTATTATAAGGGTAATGTGAAGAAATAAAAGTGGACAAAAGAGAATTTGCCACCAGCAGGAACCAAACCAGCGCGACCTTCAAATATAAGAACTTGTCATAACATCCCATACCACGGGATGCCAACAGGCAAGAAAGAGGGCTCCATACTTATAGTGGCAACAAGTGGAGCAGGTTCAAGCTCCCACGTTTGAACACACATATGCACCCTATATATTGGATGGTGGGATGACCGCCACCCTAGCTCAGAGGTACAGCATCGGACTAAAACTAGAAGGTGGCAGGTTTTCTTTTCGCCCACTTTCCTTTTTTTTTTCAACTTTAAATAACAGTTACTTCTAATAACATCCCCTATACTTTCCTTGGCATCACTGTCTGTTAGTTCTCAATAATAATGTGTCTAACAAAGAAAACAAGCCCTTAAAATTACACATCTTTCCTTCACTATGTAAGCAAGTGTCAGCGAAGTCTCCTGAAAACAATGTACAAAATCTGCTTGAATTATACGATGTTGTTCATGTCCACGCATCTAGATATTCATTCAGTCTAGATCGCGGTACAGAGCAACGGTTACAAGTGTCATGTGTTTATCGTGCTAGTATTAAGAAGAGCTCCTTTTCACGCGTATTGTGTGGCGTAGGATCCTAAGCAAGGGTTGCGACTTTGTGGCTGATCTGAGCCTGTATCATTGACGAACGAGTCGATGAAAATTAGTGCATCCCTTTGTAGTAGCTAAGGGTGTCAGCGTATGTTATACTTCTTCAAACGAAACGAAACTTTCGCTTAATCGGTTGTGACTCGGCACAACGTGGTCTTGCTGCATTGATGGCATCGGTAATTGCCAGCAATAAGTTCAGCGTTGAGGTGATAGTAGCAAGCTAAACATTCGAACTGTTGTGAAAAAAATAAAGTCAAGATTCATTAATTACATATTACAGTAATTAATGAAACCTGCGTGAGCACAAAGTGAAAAAATCAATTGTTCTCGGGCAAGAAAACCATCTCATTAACGTATCTTAACCTCAGCTGGATCATGGTCACTCTATTAGAAACACCCAATGTGAAAATGATTGATGCGAAGCACGTTATGAGTCACAGGTTTTGGTGGGGAGGGAGTTGGTGGCGAAAAAAAAAAAACTGGTGCGGGTGAAACCTCGAAGGTTCGCCGGTCACGTGCACGCTCTTTTTTTTTTTAAATAAGTGGTGCCCTCTCTCGGTTGTGGGCTCGTCAGCCATCGGCCATTTCTGATATGGAAATTATATATCTTTTCGAGGTGACTTGTCATTTCACGTTGCTACATTTTAGTTTTGGTGGTATACGAACGCATGACCGTCGCGGTTGCCTGTTGCATCTGAATTATTGCGCTGTTAAGCACTTATGCGGAGGCGGGAAAAAAGTAAGGAGGGGGCATCGTGCAATAAACAAAAAGAAGTAAAGAAAAAAAAGAAAGGAAAAGAAGGCAAGAAAGGAAGGAAGAAAAAGAAGAAGCAAGAAAAGAGAAAGAAAGAAAGAAGAAGGAAGAAAGAAAGAAAGAAAGAAGAAAGAAGAAGAAAAGAACAAAGAAAGAAAGAAAGAAAGAAAGAAAGAAAGAAAGAAAGAAGAAGAAAGAAAGAAAGAAAGAAAGAAAGAAAGAAAGAAAGAAAGAAAGAAGAGCAGGGCAGGAACGCAGCGCCCGTCAAGCGTCGCTTCTCCCCCATTTTCCCGGAAACGAATGGGCTCCTGTATTTTTATTCTCACCAAATCCTTGATGTGTGATTTATCACTGGAACCTATAGTTCAGCATACTCACTCATGAGTACACTCCCTCACTCTCATTCATGCTCACTTAAAAATCAGGTGTGTGAGCGTGAGCGAGTACTCACGGGTGTGAGCAGGCGTGAGTATTAAAATTAGTGAATACTCATCAGTGGGAATAGCCGTGAGTATGAACGGGTGTGAGTGCCAATTAATGTGAGTATGCATCAGCACGAACACTAGTAAGTGCTAAGAGGTGCGAGTAGGCATGAATATGAACGTGAGTGAGGATCGATGAGTGTTATTAGGCGTGAGTACGAACGCCAGTGGGCCCTAATGAGCGTGGGAAAGCATGGGTAGGAACGCGATGGGGTACCAGCGAGCGTAAATAGGCGTCAGTGCGAATGTGAGTGAGTACTTACGAGTATGATTAGCCATGAGTACGAAAGTGAGTGAGTACTCATGAATATGAGCGGGCTTGAGTATATGAACGTGTTTTAGTATGTGAATGGACATGGGTGTGGGTGTTAGTGCGTAGCCATGAGTGTGACGGCGTAGTCAAGAGTGTAAATAGAGGCATGAACGTTAGCACCTGTGAATGTGAGAAGCGAATGCACACGGGAGTGAATATCTATTAGTACGAGTGAGCGTATGAACGTGAATGAGGTCTCTACGCGTGAGTATGACCATGGGTGCTTGTAAATGAAGTGTAAATGTGAGTGAATGCCCATGATTGATCGATATGTGAGGGTTAACGTCCCAAAACCACCATATGATTATGAGAGACGCCGTAGTGGAGGGCACCGGAAATTCCTACCACCTGGGGTTCTTTAGCGTGCACCCAAATCTGAGCACACGGGCCTACAACATTTTCGCCTCCATCGAAAATGCAGCCGCCACAGCCGGGATTCGATCCCGCGACCTGCGGGCCAGCAGCTATAGACCACCATGGTGGGGCAGTGAGTGCCCATTAATGTGAGTAGGCGTAAGTGTAAACGTGAATGAAGTGAGTACACGTGAGTATGACCATGGCTGCCTATGAGTTAAAATTGAGTAACTGAGGGTGATAATGAGTGACTGTCCATCAGTGGGAGTACACGCATTAACGTCGATGAGTTCCTGATGTGAATATGAACATAAGTACTTATGAGTGTACGTAGGGTGAGTACGAACCTTAGTGTCACCGCTAGGATGAGCAATCGCACATTTGGCGAGTGTTCCCCCTACCGGCGCCTTCGTCCTAACATCTGAAGGGGGAACCAGCCTGACGGACTTCACTGCAAACTACACGTATCTCACCTGCCGTAACAAGCAGGGAGTCGACAAAGCGTAGCGAAAAGGAGCACGCATGCCGCACACCGAGTTTGGGAATCTTCCCTAACAAGACTATTCGGGCCGGGGAAACCACACATGCTTACCTCAGATAGTTATTTCACCGACAGTTCGATAAACGGGAATCGCTGGGTGCCCGTGCCAGGCTCGCAGTCAAAGGAAGTGCCCTAGCACCTCCCCCCCCCCCCCCCCCCCTGTAAGTGGTGTTTTACCAAAAATAAGTGATGAAATAGTTTTTTTTTTAGAGAAGTCAAGGTATTGAGCACGTGTGCTCCTACCGATAATTCTAGGCTACGCCTGGTCCGTGCTACGCACTTCCTCAGTTTTACCTATTGGAGAGTCGAATTTCGGAGTCCAGTCGGACGTGACTGACATCCAGCGTGGGTGAGTGGTCGTGACCAAGCATGAGTGAAGGCCTGCGAGTGCGAATAAAAATGGGTACAGAGGAGATTGGGAATCGTTGAAGTTGAGTGGGCTGAGTGTGAGTGTGTGATTGAAGGAATTGAGTGGACTTTTGAACGCGAGTATCTGTGGACAGCTGTAACCTTTACTGATAACATTAGTGCATCTGAGTGTGAGGTGAACGCGAGTGAGTATGAGCGTCATTGAGTACCGGAGAGTGAGTAGTCGTGAGTTTGAACACGTGTCAGTAACTGTGAGGATGATTGACGCGAGTGGGTTCCGGCCGATGGTCAGTGTGAGTGGCGTAATTAAATTAAACAAGGGCCGGAAAACATGTGCTGAACGTGAGTGATTACCATGAGCGTGAAAAGATATGACAATGAACGTATGTAAAGTGCATGAGTTTGAAGTAGAGTGAGTGCCTGTGAGATGAATAGACTTCATAAAAAAGTGAGTGAGTAGACATGAGTGTGAACGTGAGTGTGCCCCTATGATTGTGAGTTGATGTATGAGCATGAGTGAATACCATCATGTGTGAGCACACGTGAGTATACAAACGCGAGTGAGCTCCTATGAGCGTGAGTAGATATGCTATTGGAAGTGAGTGAGTAGGTGCCAGTGCGAGTGAACGTGAGTGAGTACGTATGTGTGTGAGTACATATGAGTGTGAACGTGAGTGCAGCACGTATGTATCTGAGTAAACGTGAGTATGAGCGTGAGTACTAATGAGTGTTAGTAGGTGCGAGATTGAACGTGAGTGAGTATTAATGAGTGTAAGTAAATGAGAGTGAGTACTAATGAGCGTGAGTTACCGTGAGTGAGTGTGAGTATATGAGAGCATGAACGTGAGCGAGAACGTAAGGGTATGAGTACACGTGAGTAAGAGCGCGAGTGAGTAGCTCGGAGTGCGCGTACAGTGCATATGAGTATGAGCTTAAGTAAGTTCTTACGAATGTGAGTGCCGTGTCGAGAGTATGAACGAGAGTATGACCAAGCGTGAGTTCGAAGCCTAAAAAAAATTGGGGTGAGTGTGTATGAACGAGAATTCTCTCGCAGTACCGACCTATGCTATAACGGGCCTCATTAAGCCAGGTTTCAAAACAAACTCTGATATCCCGCTGAGAAAACAAAAAAACAAAGGCACTTTTTCTTGACGTTTCAACAGGCATCCTGGCCTTCAGCCAAATTTAGGCCAGCAGCTGGCCTCGTTCTTGATGGCGGCGCTTTCGCTGCAGGTCCGCAAGTTGTACCCGCACATTGCGTTCGAACTGATCGGCCGACGCGGCTACACATCGTGCATAAACAACTACGCGGGCAACTATGCGGCCGAAGAATACCTGGGCGGTGGTGTGGCGGCCTTCGTGGGTCCCGGCTGCTCAATGGCCGTGGACTCTGTGGGACGACTGGCCTCGCACTGGAACGTGCCGGTGTGCACGGCTGCCGGGGTTGGAGCGCAGTTCGAGGACCGAACCATTTACGGCACGCTGGTGCGCCTCGCGCTCACCATCAACGCGCTGCGGGACGCCTTCCTCCAGGTACGCTCAAGGCACGCTCAGCTATTTGACCATTTCAGCTTTATTATTTTTTTTTTGTAGAGATAAGCTGCGAAAAGCAACCATAGCTTCGCGGCTTCGGCACGCAGCCTCAAAATGAGGTGCTTTGAGCGAGTTGCCGAGTACACTAGCATGTTCCTGCTTGCATGCTTCACGGCCTTGCAGCTGCAGTAAAATACCTCTTGAAAGAACGTCTGTCAAACGAAGCATTCGGTTATAGGAACTCTGTTTGAATCCCCCGCCGAAGCCCCATTGGACCCAATATTAACGCATTTAAGTTTTATGAAATACGTGCAGGACGCATTACACTTGAACGAACATATTACACCATTCAATGTTTTTTTACGTAATATTGATCAGACATTGTCTGAAAGGCTGGATACAGACAGCGCTTTGCGTTTTGTACACTGTCACCTGTGACCCTCGTGTTGAAGGCATGCGCCATTCTTTCTGCAGAATACATTGTAGCGACAGTCCTACCTCACGAAGAAGAATGGGAGGAGTAAAAAGATAGCCATTGTAGAGAAAGCACCGAGAATTTCCGCTATATGTGCACTGATGTGCATACAAAAAGAGAAGTCGTTAACTGCCCAGCAGAGTGCTGTGACGGAGAAGGCGTATGAGATCTATAGAAAACAGTGAGTCAATTCTTGACCGCTGCAGTCCTTATTACTCAAGTGAACCAAAAGATTAATACATTCTCCCAAGCATTCTAAATAAGCGGAAATTCACATTCAAATAGGCGGCACTGCGAATAGAAGGATTCCAGTTTAATTTCAACAACTAATGTTTCATTTTACTCCTGATAACATGTTGCACCATTGCTATTCCAGTTCAGCGAACTTTTTTCAGGTGTTCCTCGAGGTTCGCTCAAGTGAAGTTTCCATGTGTTATGTTCTGTACTTTGCGTGTAGATAAACGCAGAGAGAATAGTCTCTTTACGAACAGCCTGGAAACTCTATCGGTTATCTGCTCTTCATTAACTTTAACAATCAAACGTAGCATCTATCTGAGAGAGATGAGTGTACTGTATACAACAGAAGCAAATTGTTCCGCATAAAACTGTTGTGAATGAAATGACCTGACAGAATACTGTATAGATGGGCAGATGGATTATGAAGCTAACCTGCCCAGACCCTGGACAAACCGCGATAAAGTTGACGCTTACCGCGTGCGTGCAGGTGTTGCGCCATTTCGGCTGGCGGCATCTAGTGGTGCTATCGGACAGTTCACAGTCCTTCTTCCGGCAGCTGCGACGTGCTCTCGAAGGCCTGTTCGCCGACCCTGACACGGGAGTGCGTGCCGTCTTCCGTGACTTCGATTCTAGCCGCTCGTCCGTCAACTACACCTCGCTGCTGGTCGAAGGCCGCTCGTATGCGAGGGTCTTCCTGTTGGCTGGCGATGGAGAGGTACTTAGTACTCAATACTGTTCTGAACGCATAGTTCAAAAGGGAGCTCGCAGAAGCAAAAAATTAGACCATCTTAAAACAATTCACTGCGGCTGTAATGACTTAACATCGCTTTTGATAATAATCCTTCCACACTTATTTGATCAAGAGGTCTCCGTCAAATAAGCAGATGTCTCAGCCAAGCTTATAACGCCCGTACTCTCCAACTGCTGTTTTTTTTTTTTCAACCTTATTCATCATGATCAACTCTTTCCAGTTGAAACAGAATGATGACGGAAGGAACGCATGCCACTACGCCAACAGCGTTCGAATGTATAGCGCTGATCCTGCCTTAGTGTTTGTTCCTTCTTTTGTATTCTAAGTATTTGTTTCTGACAAACCAACAGACTATGCCACGGTTCTCCTGCATCAAGCAAGTTTCTCTGCAAACAAATCTAAGCCAGTTAAATAAACGGACGGAAATATGTCAGGTAGGCAAAGGGCGATATGTACGCACAAATTTGCCAAGCCTCCAAGCTTGCTCCGGTTACTAAAAGCCATAGAGTTCCCCAAAATTAACTAGAGGTCACTCTGGCGCTGCGATCGTTCAGCGACCATGGGAATGATGGGTAGTACACACATTTGCCTAGTATTCGTACTTGCGGGCGGCGAATCGTACTTACGGCTTCGTTTACTGCTGTGTTTCGGTTTTGTTTTGAAAGAAAAATGAAACCCTTTTGAACTTCGTGACCCAATTTGGAAAGGTAATTCGAGAAAATAGGGTGGTGAAGCGCAATCGCTGAACATTTGCTGAATTTTGTTTCGGGAGAAAACAACTTCAAGCCACACGAACACACACGGAGCCAGAAGTAGGCCACAAATACGAAGATTAGACAAATACGTGTACTACCCAATATTCCCATGCTCGCTGAAGCGCCGTGCGTTGCAGCTCCCATAGACACTAGCGCCAGAGTACCCTCTAGTAAGTATTGTGGGAAACTCTATGCTAAAAGCAACTAGGTCATATGACCATCGGTAAACGTATGGAAAGCATTCAAAGAGATTTACCTGAGACATCTGCACTGTCGCATGCATTGTTCGTGTTTTCTTTGAGTTTTCCCGTAAATGGTGTTCCTGCTGTCGCAATGTCAACAGGTAATTCGGCAGCTGCTGCTTGACGCACACGACCTGGGCATGCACGATGGTCACTTCGCCTTCCTCACGGCCGAACCGTACAAGAACGAGCGTTACTTTGGAGAGTTCTCTTGGTACAAGGAAGGGGACTCCAGGAACATGGTCAGTACTTCTACAATACTGTCAGTATGCTACGGTTGTTCATCATAACAAGGAATGCGTTTGATTCCATCGTCTATTGGTGGGAAGTTGAGAAAATTTTCTGCCGATACCTGATACCTTTTTTTTTAGATGCGAAGCGTCTTATGATCTAGCTCAATGCAGTGTGCGGCGAGACCACCCTACAGTGCATTTGCACCCCTCTCCCTCTTTCCTTGTCCCCCTCTCTCGCCTCGTAACGCCGACGCAGCCAGCATCTGCTCGTCTACGTTTGCTCCCCCTCTCTCTCCTCTAGGCATCCCTCCCAGTTGCGTCTACACCTCCATTGCGCATGTGCGTCCACTTCTCCTCTCCTACGCTCCCCCCACCCTCTTCTATTACCTCGCAACGCCGACGCAGGCAGCGTCTGCTAGTCAAGGCTCACTCGCCGCTTTCTGCCCTTTAGGTATCCCTCCACATGGCGCTTACACACCCATTGCGCATGCACGCCCACTCCTTTCCTACTCTCCGTCCTCTCTCATCTCGCAACACCTACACAGGCTGCGTCTTACAGCAACTTTCTCGATTAAAGAAAAACTGATTGCTCACGCTGCACAACCAGTCACTGGACACCCCGTATATATACCGGCACTGGATCTTGACCTCCAAGGTAGTGCCGGTGGGAGATTTCTTCTGTGCGTCGTTGAACAATAAAAATTCGCAGCCTGCGCGTTAACTAAGAGCAGAATGAGGGTCTCTGTGTCCAATCAGTCTCCTGTCTCCAATTGCCCATCAGTAGCGATTGGCATGCTCAAGCAGGGAAGACCGGTTCACCACTGCATGCTTAGCGCCTCCCCAGGTTACTCTCCTGCGAAACGCCACGATGAGCGCCAGCGTCAACACCACCGCCAGTGTAAGCGTTAGCGCCCGCTGCTTCGCATCTATACACATGGTACCCTTTTGGGGGAGATGGAGTAATGTTTTCCTTTTTTTGCCATAAATGGACGCAGGCGTGGCAGGACATGACCCCGCGTCTTTTCTTGTATTCGTATATTTTCCCTTTCATTGCCTTTACCGGCGACATCTTTCATAATTACACCCAGACTGGACTACTTTCAGCGGTTGAACTGATCTGTATGTGTCCGAAATGATGTGCACCTGAAAGACACGTGAGAGAAATTGAGTCGCTGTGAAGGTTCGCTGTGGTTCAGCTACTGAACGTTTAAGGCAAAGTGCATCGGTTCTTACGCCAACCACTGAACACTGAGCTATGTATATAGACGCCTAATAACCCTTGGTTCTTGGCACCGGTCCTTGTTGCGTACGCAGGAAGTCCGCAGGATGTACGAAGCTCTGATGATTTTGTCACTGAAGATCCCAACCAGTCCAGAGTACAAGCAATTTGTGCGACAGGTGGTGCGTAACTCGAGGAAAGAGTTCAACACCACAATAGAGGACTCCATCGTGAGTGAAACCATCGCAAGAGAGTGGGATGGTCCACCAGTTCAACGACATTCCCCGACACGAGTCGTGTTTTGCAGGTGAACGTGCTTATCGCGGGATTTTACGACTGTATCCAGCTGTATGCATGGGCGCTGAATGAGACGCTCGCCAACGGGGGAGACCCTATGGACGGCCGCGCACTTATCGACCTCATCATGAACAGCACGCGATACGGTAAGGAACAACTAGTACCTGAAAGGCCCGACGCTCTTCGACCGATAGAGAAGTGACAATCTCGAGTTTTCTGTAAAGACGCAGTGCGAAGGCCTCGCCCAAAGCGTCGGCTAATGCACTCGGTTTTATAATTCATTCGGACACTTGAGGTAACCTAAACAAGCAGCTGAGCCTCTTAAATGGATAAGAATTATGTCTTTCCTATTAGTCCTGGACCTTTCAAATTGGGCATATGGATCACAGGGCCAGGAGACATTATTAAATTCAAGTCCTTATGAGCTGAAAAACTTTCTCTAGTGACAGAAAAATAAATCATGTTAATACGACATTCTAGCATGTAGTTATTTGTCACATCGAGATAACACCGTCTCAATGTCCCACAATTTCGAGGAAGCTATGCCGTGGTTTTATGCAAAAGTTCTTTCCCAGATACTTAGCACTACTTTTGCTTCGAGCATGAAAAAAGCTAGATATTCAACACGCTGTGTATTTTATATTCACCACTTTCTTTCAAACCACTTGCATTTCCATTCAATCCGCGATAAGAAAGCCGTATGATAGGATACCTTCGCTCTTCCGTCAGCATTGCATGATTCTGTTTTGTGTTTGTGTTCCTGTGTGCGTGTGTTTGTGTGTTTGTGCGTGTTTCACTTATTAGTAAGTTTGCCGAGTATGGACAAAGTTATGGACAAAGTTAACTACTTACCGTTGCATTATGATGCAGGACTGACGGGCAAAATTCACTTCAATGCCAACGGAGACCGCATCGCTGAATACGCGCTGAAGGCTCTCGACCCTACCACACTCGAAATGCGGGTATGATGCGTTACGTTTTGAATGCACTAGCGTGCGCGAAGGGAACTCAGGATCAGTTTTTACTTTTTAAATGGTTTGCAGAAAAACAACAACATAGTACTGAGAAAAAACGTACTGCTCTGTATTCTGTAAAAAAAGCTGTAAAATGGCCTCTGGCAACTTCTCATTCTTCGTGCAATGTTATTGGGATAAAAAAACTGTTTTTCAAGACACAGAACTATACAGCAATTCAGCCCTAGAAAACCAGGGTACTGAGTTGCTCTATGGACAAGCACTCGCGTAGTAAAAAAAAAAAACATGTAGGAGTAGTTGTACAGGTTTCCCATATAAATCAGCACGATAAATACAAAAAAACGTAACAGCTTTGCCACAAAGGCATAGCAATGAACGCGATAGCAACAAATTAGAAGGTCATGTGAAGCATGGCAAGCAGATCGAAGCGTACCCCACATTTTGTACGCACAAATGACGCACGAAACGTACTCAGAGTTACAGATGAACACGAATAAGCGTCTCAGTTGTATTTTGAAAAAAATATACTTTCTTAGTGCGCAGGAAACGTTTCAGAAGGAAGATAGTGCAGAGAGATAGAACAGAGCGCGCACTTAAAACCAATTTTATTGTACAAATGGCGGGAATATATTTACGGTCAAAAGAGCGAATACATCACGCACAGAAGAAAGGGCAAACGATGGCGCATATATTCCCGTCATCTGTGCAATGAAATTGGTTGTAAGTTTGCTCTCTGTCCTATCTCTCTGCTCTATCTTCCTTCTGAAACGTTTCCTGCGCACTAAAGAAGCATATTTCTTTCAAAAATTCAAGACCAACCAGCCCAAGTAGCCATTTCTTTTTGTCGCAGTTGTTACTTCGCTGTGTCTGAAAAGCGCGCCCTTTCGCAAACCGAGACTGTGCAGCGAGTGCAGCGACCTTTGTAGGCCCGGTAACTACAACAGAATCGTTCCGGGGAAAGCCCAAGGTGTGCGATTCTCTCCACCACAAGATAAGCGTGCGCACGCGTGAGCGTCCACCCTCCCCCTCTCCACGGGGCAAAGTACGCGTTAGAGATGAGAGCGCGCCGCCACGTCGTGATGAACTGGTGACGCGCTCTCATTGCGCCATCTCGCTGGTAATGCTGAAAACACGATAGTTCCCCTGAGATGCCTATCACCAGCGGTAAGTGGCAGATATAAATAACTTGCGGTTTCAACGTTGAAGGAGGTGCTTCTTTATGGCTCGGTGGCTAACGCTTCACATTCACAAGCAAGAGGGCGGGCGTTAGATTTCGCGGACCGGAATTTTTTTCTAGATTATTTTTCTTTCTTGTGTTTTCATATATATAGATACGTGTACATATATGGTTAAGGACGCCGACGTCAACGCCGAAGCCATTGGCGAAATCCAGCCGAGAGTGTCCATACAGTTGCTATCGCAATAAATAAAACGTTGTTACGTGAAGCATACCTAGTGCATATTGTTTCCAGTATACTGTAGTAGTCACTGCTATTTTGTTCGTTAATGTGGCTTGGTTCATTGGTCCTAATTATGTTTTAACGTGACAAATACTAACCTAATTATTAAATTGTTCATAAAGCATATGTAGGCATATGTTCAAATGACATCTAACTGTGCTATTTTCTACAACGTACTGACTGCGTGCTCACTATTTTTTCGCTAATAAAGGAAACCCAAGAAATCTAAAAAATGACACATGGTTTGGCTGTAGAGTGCATCAGGAAGCAGCGCCTTCAAGCAGGATTGATCTCTGTGAAGTAGCAAATCAAGACTGCGCTCCCACATTTTGGGTGTGGTCAGGCGTTATTTTTCATACTTGGTGTGCCTTATCGGCCTTTAAAAATAAGGACGCAACTGGTACGTAAATGAAGATAGCCCAGTTAGATGCCACTTCAGCATGCCTACATATGCCTCACCAAGATTTTAATGATCACGGGATTGATTGATATGTGGGGTTTAACGTCCCAAAACCACTATATGATTATGAGAGACGCCGTTGTGGAGGGCTCCGGAAATTTAGATTAATGATCAGGGGAGTACTTGTTGCGTTGAAAGCATAAGTAGGGTTAATGACCTAAATCTCCTTAATGACAAAATAAGTAGGGGTTGGAAACAATATGCACCTGGTGTGCTGCGTATAGCGGGGTTCTTTTGTTAAATCGTGATGTGTGATATTTGGGACACCCTGCGTATGTCTGAAAGAAATTCTACTCTTCGATACCTGCAGATGACGAGCTAATATTATTTCAAACTTAACCGACTCCTACAGCTCTGATCAAACAAAATTTAAATAGCAGAAGCGAACTTGCCAGAATCCACTCTCAGATTCTTTGATTTTCGTCCAGTAAATTTATTCTGAAATATCAGTGTTGCCGGGATACAGCACAAAAGCTTCTACGCAAAAAAAGTAATCGTAAGTTTTAACATAAAACTTCTTATAAAAGTTCTCGATGTACCCCAATAATTCTTTGCATGATTGTTTGATTTGTGGGGTTTAACGTCCCAAAACCACCATTTGATTATGAGATACGCCGTAGTGGAGGGCTCCGGAAATTTTGACCACCTGGGGTTCTTTAACGTGCACCCAAATCTGAGTACACCGGCCTACAACATTTCCGCCTCCATCGGAAATGCAGCCGCCGCAGCCGGGAATCGAACCCGCGACCTGCGGGTCAATAATTGTTTGCATGTGAGCTTTATCTTAAAGTAATGAACTCATATTTAATTCTACATAGATGTCGTGCTCATCGGAACTAGGTTTCCGAGAATGTAACCATATCAAGTGAACTTTTCATGTCTTAATCAACGTTTTACAATACCATGGTAAATCTGTGCGCCTATTCCCCGAATTCCAGGATTAATTAAATTGATGTTTTCTTGCTGTTGTCAGAGTGCCATACTGTGCTTCATCAGTGACCTTGTGTGGCACTTTATTTATTTATTTATTATTTATTTATTTATTTATTCTTTTATTTATGTGGTTGTTATTAATCGAAGTGAATACGAACGAAGGTAGGTAGTTACCCGAAGTACTTATGCATGTAATATAATTCGCAATGTCTTAGGAACATTCAACATTGTTCATTGCTCTCGTTAATGTCGGATCCCGGCTGCGGCGGCTGTATTTCCGATGGAGGCGGAAATGTTGTAGGCCCGTGTGCTCAGATTTGGGTGCACGTTAAAGAACCCCAGGTGGTCGAAATTTCCGGAGCCCTCCACTACGGCGTCTCTCATAACCATATGGTGGTTTTGGGACGTTAAACCCCGCATATCAATCAATGCTCTTGTTAATGCTTCGTTTTCAATTCAAACATTCAGTTTGCACACGCTGAGGTTGTGTGTGTGTTGCCGATATTAATGAGCCAATGCCATGGTCGCAGCCCGTGGCTGTTTACCACGGGGCACGACAGGTGCTGGTGCCGGTAGAGAACGTGACCATCTACTGGCCGGGTCGGCGCACCGATGCACCGCAGGACGTGCCCGAGTGCGGTTTTCTTGGGGACGCCCCTCACTGCCAGAGAAAAGGTGCCACTTCTCTTCCTCCTAAGCACGCAGAATTAGTTGTCGTTAGCAGTGCTTATCGCTTCAATTTAACAATATACGTAGCGTAGAGTAGTAGAATGGAATAGAATACGTCGAATAGACTTGATCTAGCTAGATTCGTCCTCCCTTATTTTCCTCCCTGTGTGTAGGGCATGCGAACTGAACGTAGTGCAGTTAGCCTCCCTGCCGTCCCTGCGTCCCCTCATTGTCTTCTTGCTCGCAAGCCAGAAAAATTCATCTTGCGCTCTCTGAGGACTACTAACCTATGTAGACGTCTTTCACTTTTGCATCGTACCACCGCTGCATACGCGTCAGCGCATGTACCGACATTTTTCTCCTCCCTTTTCCTTCTATTTCTTCCCCCTATCTGATATTTATACTCCCCTTTCCCATTCCGAGCGTCGGGTAGCAAGCTGGGCATGTGCCCGGTTAACCTCCCTGCCTTCTCTCTTGTTGTTTTCGTTCCTTTCTCTTCTCCGTTTCATGAACTCCAAAGCCACGCAAACGCATATTCCATGCTGCATTCACTGTGCACAACGATGACTAGCATTAAAGGGAACACGTATTATGCCATCATTTATTATTATTATAAACCATAAAGGCTCGTACATTCATTCTGGTTGGTGAAGCAGTATACTTACAGGCAAAGAAGAACTCTCAGTGCACAAAACGCTGAAGGTCGTTGAGGAGGCGGCAGGTCATCTCGCCTCCTTCATTACCCTCAACGGTTCTATGTCAGCCACACATTTCTTATAAAGGTAAAAGGATGTTGAGAGTATTTGTTTTAATACTGGTTATCTTCAACAATAGACCATACTGAACTACGACCGAAGGAAGTGAATCGAATGGGACGAGTTGGATGGGGAAGGTAGCAATAGAGCGGAGCTGGTCTGACAAGAAAGGCCAGATGAGTCATAGACACGGTTGTAGTCATGTGAGGCTGTCGACCGACACTGAAGCGTGGCGCCACTTGTGGGTATTTGGATGGCGTGCGCAGAGTCGCCCACGCTGCTGATCGTGGTGACGCTGGTGACGCTGTTGAGTTTCTTTGGCATGGCCATAGTCGCCCTCCTGTTCTACCGGAGGGTGCAGCTGGAGACGCAACTAGCAAACTTCTGGTGGAGCATCAAGTGGGAGGACATCGCTTTTCCGGAGAGAAGCCGGAAGTCTGCTAGTAGCCTCGCCACCAACGACGAAGCCCTGTCCAAAGGCTCACCCGTGAGTTTCCATACTCATGACTGTGTTACGCGCATAAATCAGTGTCTTGCGTTCGTCGTCTTCTTTTGTGAAAAGAACGCATTGATGGAAGAAGACGTGACTGCCAAGAGCGTGACCTGGGTGTTGCTTTACGGGGTACGGGGGGGGGGGGGGGGGTTCTTTCAAACTTTTCTCTCCCAACGAATTTATATATTTTCTATGTGTATACATACGTAAATATTTATAAAAACAAGCACGAACATTCATAACTAAGAGTCACACCCCTCCCAGAAAAAAAAATCACTATGCCCTTGGTGTCGTTCCATGTCGTTCACATTTCTGAGCACCATACCACGAACAGTTTAGGACATGGGAGGTATGTGACATTCGCCACAAATGTGATTTAATTAGTTGGGATCAAACAGAACGCCACGAAGTGGACAAGAACAAAGTGAAGCATGCAGGACATATGCGGACGACAGGTTTAATTAAGTTCGAATAATTATTTACACCATGCCTCTAAACATTTCTCAGGTCATAGTGTAATACCGCGGACGGCGCCCACTTTGGCGTAAGTGAATGATTCCATTAAGGTTTAATCTATCTATCTATCTATCTATCTATCTATCTATCTATCTATCTATCTATCTATCTATCTATCTATCTATCTATCTATTTATCTATCTATATATCTATATATCTATCTCTACTAAAAGTGACAAAGCGTACCAAAACCGAAGTGCAGAACGTCTCGTTGTTGCAATGTAAAATAGTCCTATCTATTTTATGTTCCAACCTTGGCGCAGAGATTTGGAGGTGCCTGTTCTAACCAAGGTTACTACGGTGATGTCCACGTTGGGATCTACAAGGTAAGGTCGTTTGCTTTACAGTCGTCGAACATCCCCAACTGAAGGGGCAACACAAAGGCTTCTATTCCAAGCACGGTGTAAGAAAAATTATTTTTCTTACACCGCGATTACAAGCTAGCTATGCTTCGGCAAGCAGCATTCAAACTAGAATATAAGAAACAAGAATCTGTGTCAGTTAAAAAAGCAACAAAAGATTTCTTATCGTGAGTACAAAAAACTATACAGAGGAAACTGCCTCGCTGGATGTTTTTACATTATTGTTTTTAGTCCACAACAGAAAGGGTAAATGAAGTGCGGCGTTGTTACTGCTCACTGTGCCCGAGCAGCATTCAGTATTTAAAAGAGAAAGATGTTCTCGGCAGAGAGCGCTTTAGGTTCTCTAAAGCGGCTCCCGTATTTTCGCAAGCTTTGAGTATTGTTTCTCCCACCGATAGCCGCCAGTTTGACAATGCGAAACTGTAATATTCGCCTTGGGCGGTGGCCGTGCAAAGTTAAATCCTATTCCTGCCTGCTTTTTTGCTCTCTTTCGCACTTTTTTTGTTTTCTTCTTCTTCGCCACGCATCTTTTAACGTATTATTGGCTGAAGGAGGAATGAGCAGCAAATGAAGAAAAAAAAACTACTCTGATTTTTGTTATTTTTCCCCGTGGCTTTTTGTTGAATCTTTTCATAGTCGACAAGCCGGAGAAAAGCAACAACATTACTCCCGAAAGCACGAAAGCGAAAATGTTAAGGGCACTCGCGTCAAACTGATAGCGTTTCTGCAAGGCCCATATGCTTTTGCGCGGCTGCAACATTTTAAAGAGCGGCTGTGTAAATGCACGCGTCAAGCGAATCTCGGAAAGCGAAGCCGGCTTTCAATGCGCTTCTACTTCTTTGTGACCTTCCAACGGAAGCGGCGAGCAGTGCACGCTTCCGCTTGCAGCTAAGCCTCGACTGGATGATCCGCTTGCTCGGTGCAGACCTTCTATGAACTAGACGGCGCTCGTTATTCGGGCCGGTGCATAGCGATCGAAGGACGCTTGTACGGGCGCCCCATTAGGCGCGTCTTCATTCACCGCTAATGTGCGCAGGCCATGTCGTTCGCTTTGCCGAAACGAGGACAGTCATCTCTGGGGTTAGGCATGCTTTTACGTCGCCTATTAAATCGCTTTCCGTTGAAAAGCACGAGTTTGAACAGCCCCAATGTTTCTTTTTCTTTTTTCTTATTTGAGGGGAGGGGGTTAAGAGGGGAACAGCCTGCAGCGGCTGTTTACGGACGCAAGCCAAGAACAAGAAACGATAACGATAGTCTTACCGGCAGGCGGCTCGCAGCAACTTGATACCAGCTGTCATATACGTCATCAGAAAAAAGCTGTGATCCAGCGTTAAGTGTAACTTGCTGTATAGCTGGCTCTTTAATGACAAAGTAAACGAGGTTAAGAAATGAGACTATTAAAGCTTGTTGTTGGAATAATTCGTAACGCGTCGTATTGTGAGTAATTTAGCGCAGCTTGGAAATCTCTTGAAACACTCCCACATTGGCACACGCTTCCACTCAACAAACTGCTGCGTGTCTTGTGTGTTTCTTGAGTGAAAGCGTGCGTGCATGTGTGAGTGATTTCCAAGCTGCGCTAAATTCACTTAGATTGTAATAAATGAGAGATTGTTTGGCTCCGCCAGATGTCGTAACACTGTGTGAAAGCACATTCGAGCAGCGCGCACAATGCCGAGCGTGATTCGGACCTCGAAGAAAGTACAACCGCGATAAGAACGCTGCCGAAATAGACGTGCACGAAACGTTGATCCCCATTGACCAAAGTGAACCCGTATGCACGGCCCGCAGAGCCAAGGAACACCTGGCATAAGCATCGGCCGCGACCAATATTCCCACTGAGTGCAGCTGAAGCCTCGCGTTCTTTCGTGATTGATTGATTGATATGTGGGGTTTAACGTCCCAAAACCACCATATTATTATGAGAGACGCCGTGTTGGAGGGCTTCGGAAACTGCGACCACCTGGGGTTCAATAACTTGCACCCAAATATGAGCACTTGAGCCTACAGCATTTTCGCCTCCATCAAAAATACAGCTGCCGCCACAGCCGGGACTCCATTCCGTGACCCGCGGGTCAGCAGCCGAGCATCTCAGTCACTAGACCACCACGGCGGGGCTCGCGTTCTTTCCTGACACCCGAGAAATATCGATATAGGTATAGGCTATGAGTGGTTTAATAATCCCCAAATTAACGTAAATTGGAGTAAAAAATGCACTGTCATATTTATCAGTCTGGTGCCTTTTGATGATAGGGGTGAAATGTTTCTCGATGATTGCCTAAGGCAAGACATTTGTACGTTATTTTTACATACATAAGTTCCTTGTTGTTGGCAAAGTTCAAAGTGCCCTCACAGCTCCACATATTATTATTATTATTATTATTATTATTATTATTATTATTAGTAGTAGTAGTAGTAGTAGTAGTAGTAGTAGTAGTAGTAGTTGTTGTTGTTGTTGTTGTTGTTGTTGTAGTCTTGCGAAAAAATGTGCTTGAACAAGGAATTCCGAATTTAAGCATGACTATATTTAGCGGGTGGGAGAGAGAGAGGGGGGAAGCAAGAAGAGGAAAGGCAGGGGCGGGTGGGAGGTGATTGAAAAACGACTTGACTCACATAAGCGGGAATGACTCTCCTACAGGTTAGCGCGTATTGCATCTAATCTTTTGCGCAGGGCATGACCGTGGCAGTGAAGACCATTCGCATCACCAAGTTCGCGGCCAATCGAACCATCCTCCTGGAACTGAAACAGGTGACGTCAATTTTCAACGATGAAAAACACGTGTGGCCTTTTTCTTAGCACCACTTTCTTTCAACCACTCAAGTTGTTGCTTTTTTTTGTTAGTCTGTACTAGCCAGTGAAGCGTTCAGCTTGCAGCACGGAAAGGTAAACGCGTTTACTGCATCAGCGTTCTCACAACATGGAGTGAAATGCAATTGCCCATCTTCACCCGGTGCTGCACTTTTTGGGGGGCCGTCACCGCACAACAGGCGCCAGATGTTGCTTTGCCTCAGCTTGCTTATTTCTTAAGTGGTTCACGAAACAGGCTTCTACAAGTATACGGCGGGAGATTCTTCCCATGTGGGGGCCACCCAAGCACGCGTGTACGCAGATGAGGGACGTGACCCACGAGAACCTGGTTCGGCTGGTGGGCCTCACCACCGAGGACCCGAACGTGGGGCTCGTCATGGAGTACTGCCCCCGAGGGAGCCTCAGGGTGAGAGCCCTTTTGGCACGCTCGCCTTACGCACGAATTCACGCGCAGCCAATGAACGAAGGCTCCGAAAAATTCGAGGTGAATGACCCGAGTTCGCCGCGAAATATGACGCCGTGGCTATTGCACGGTGCCTCAGTAGATTCTGTGCGAAATTCACATGTCTGTATGACATCATAGTGTATAAAGCAGTGCCAAAAGATGAAGACACGAGATGGAGAAGTACATAGGCACGGCGCTCAACTATAACAACTGTCGAGTTTATAGTGCACAGAGGAATAAACACATATAGTCCGACTGCGCACGCATAATCACATGGAATATACTGGCCACTTTTTTGGGGCAGGCTAAATTAAAAATCATCAAGGTAGATAGATGGGGCGAAAATTCAGAGAATATGGTTGTTCCTAATGTGAAAAGCTTCAATAATTTCACGTGATCTTCAATTATTCATGAAGATATATGTGTTTATCATTGCGAATTAAGCCTTCTCCAAAAAAAATGACACGTATCTGTAATGTGATGATACGTGCGCAGGCGGCCTACATGTGTTTATTCCTTTCTGCACAATAAACTCGACATTTCTTAGTTGAGCGCCGTGACTGTGTACTCACCGATCTCGTGTGTTCGTCTTTTTCGCGCTGCTTTATACTATGAAGGTAAACCAGCTAGCCCAGTTTTGCACGCTATTGATGGCACTTAATGCACTTCTCGCGCATGACATTTACGTGCATCCAGAGCAGTAATATCGGGTAACAGTGCCACGACGGCGAAGGTTGCCAAATTATCACAAATGTCTCGACCTTTCCTCGAGCTCGAATGAAGTTCGATATCTTCACTCAGCTTCATCCACTGATGTTGAGGGACTATCGATGCCCAGCGTGACCTGTTCTCTGCTTCATTATTGAGGCTGAGGTGGCAAGATATGTACACGTCTTTGGGATTATTAAGGCGAAAGTCTCCGATGCGTCAAGGAGCGGGGAATCGGACCGTCGGCGGCGGCCGTCCCGCGGCGTCGGGTACGATTGACGCAAAGAATCATCACGTGATGACGCCATGACCGTATGACGTCATTGTGTCGTCTCACATTGCACTATTTTTCGGCGTCGTCAAGACGTCACAGATTTTGATGCTACGTCGTGTGACGTGGAGCCGACACGATGCCGTTGTAGCGCCCTCTTCTGGGCGGCAACACCAGAGAACACACGACCTCAAGAGAATAATGTAGAGACGGCGCTTGGCAGTGGCACGTGAACCCATGGTTCGCATTCCCTGCTCCTTTTTAATACATCGATGACTGTGAAGAAAAAGAAGAAGAAGGCTTTCGAGCCATCTTACGTGAATGCATGTACGAGAGGCCCTTTGAGTTCTTTGAGGCCACGTCGTAAATTTCAGTCTCAATCTACTCGTGCGCCACATCTGTTCATGAAGACCAGCGCCAGCATGACGCGTGAATAGAAGAATGCACAAGATACAACCGCTGTCTAACGACTTGATGAGTGCTTAATGAAAAGCATAAAATATTTAAATAGAAGGGGAGACAGTTAGGTTGAACAAGCCAAAAAAAAGAGTCAAGAAAAAAAGTTCTTATATGCCATGAAAGATTACAATCCCGCATATTGCAAAAACAACGCTTCGGTGTCGGTAAGAGCAATCGATGGATAGCTCGTGCCATCAATTGATTGTTCGTTATTTCAAGCGCTTCTGCTTTTCGTTTTGCGTTGTTTCAAACGATTCCACGATTCCTCGGGTGCACTGGTACGCCTCAAGCGCGCAGCCACACTGCCGGCAATGGCGCGAAAGTTGGGATGAAGGCGTATGTTTTAGACAGTTAGCATGCTCTCTTAAAGCGGTCTTTCAGACACCACTCTGTTTTATCACTATATGCCCCACCGCACGATAAAAGGATGGGGTATACACCACCTCGCTGGTTGTGAACTCCATCTCTGAAAGGTATACGCCTTTGTCGCACCTTTCCCTTCACTGCCACTACGGTGGTCGCGCACCTGTGCAAAACAAAATACTCCTACATCGTGATGAGGTACAGAGACCAGCGCACCCGAGAAATCGTATACACGTGTTTGAAGCAACTGAAATCAAAGACGAGTGAGCGAGCCATCCATTCATTGTTCGCACCGTCGCGGAAGTGTTGTTCTTGCTACCTATACAAGATTTTATGATTTCATGACAGACAATCACCTTTTCTTTTTTTCGAAGAGGGATTTCTTTAGCTGTGTTTCTTCTCTTTTCGTTTAAATATTTCATGCTTTTCCTTAATACTTTCAGTTGTTACACAGCGCTTGCGTCGCACACATTCTCCCCGTCCTTTGTCTTGTTTTCACTGGCCGTAATGAGTAGGCGTATATTCCTACTCGCCCAGTTGGCCACCTTGCTACAAGTATCGCTACTTATTTGTGTTTCTAGCACAATAAAATACCGATTTTAACTGAGTTATTGTTATAAATAAATCTTGTTCGAGAGTTGAACGCGCACACAAGAAGTAAATCCCACAAAAGAGCTCACTGAACGACTGCAAAACATGGTATGCGGGATTTAACGGCCCGAATCCACCATATGATTATCAGAGACGTCGTAGTGGAGGGTTCTAGAAATTTCGACCACCTGGGGTTCTTTAACGTGCACCCAAATCTGAGCACACGGGCCTGCAGCATTTTCGCCTCTTTCGAAAATGCAGCCACCGCAGACGAGATTCGATCCCGCGACCTGCGTGTCAGCAGCCGAGTACATTAGCCACTAGACCACTGCGGCAGGGGCGACTGCGAAACAGCGTGAAAAAAAGGAGGCACGAAAAGAAATGAACCTGACCAAGCGCTCCTTTTTTTTTCTGTGTCATCATTTTTCGTGCTGTTTAGCAGTCACGAAGCCGTATACCAACAATCTCAGTACCATATTGTTTTAATAGCAGTTCACTACTTGAGCCTTGTGACATGAAACTGGGCGTTGTGCTGTTATAAAAATATTTTTGTCATTTTACGTTTTCATAGTTTCGCATTTGTGGTTTCTCAGCTTTTCATGAGAAAGGAGGTGGGATAGATGCGCGTGCTTTCACTTTATGTATATTGAAGGAACGCAGAGCAAAATAAACTGTTGAAGTAGCGCTCGTCTTCGTCCGTCTTGTTTGTTTGTCTGCCTGTCGTCTGTCTGTTTGTTTGTTTGTTTGGTTTGGTTTGGTTTGGTTGCTTCGCTATGGCACATACCTACTCTGGAGGATTGACCAAGACTGCGCATCGCAACATTCCGACGTTAACTTGAAAAATACTCACTTACCAATTATTAAAATCATTAGATAACGAAAATAGCTTATATATAAACGAATTTCTATGTGAAGGAGACCGGCGAGTTGTAGAATTCTGACCCGAACCTTCAAAAATCGATTAAAAAGGTAAAAGAAGAAGTTAAAACTAAGTTGACTTCGTCTTGCTTGTGGGGTTCTATTATGTTTTCGCTCTGAATTCATTAATAACGATCGCCGACAAACTATCTCAATATACTGTTCTTCTGGTGAACACAGTCTGTCGCGATTTAGTTTATACGCAAGGCGTTGGAAAGTGTCTGGCATTCAAAACCCACGCCCAACCGTAAACGCTTATCAACAGATAAAGTTTTGCAATGTGAGAACAAAAAGCATGTTCGTTTCCATGTTTGCCAGTACCATTGATGGTCGATTGATATGTGGGGTTTAACGTCCCAAAACCACCATATCATTCATTATGAGAGACGCCGTAGTGGAGGGCTCCGGAAATTTCGACCACCTGGGGTTCATTAACGGGCACCCAAATCTGAGCACACGGGCCTACAACATTTCTGCCTTCATCGGAAATGCAGCGGCCGCAGCCGAGATTTGATCCCGCAAACTGCGGGTCAGCAGCCGAGTTCCTTAGCCACTAAACCACCGTGGCGGGGCATTTTTTGTCAGTACCTGCTTTTACTTGTTGTAGTGTATACAAGGAGGCGACAGAAAACTTCAAGCACGCTTAAGCTTGAGCACGATAGTGTAATCGAGCCCCGTTCATATCGCCTCACTAATATGTGATTAAAGCAGTTGAAAGTTTGTCGTCGTCGCTTTTTTTTTTTGGTGTACTGTATTTTCCACGCAATCCTTCCTTTTTGATCATATCGCCTTCTCACTTGCTGGCGTTGGCTTTTTTTTTTCGGTGGCAACCAACCCTGCAGCGAAGAAAAAGTCACAGCTTCACCGCAAAGGCGAAGCAATGAACGCGATAGCGAAAAATTGGAAGGTCACGCGCAGAATGGCAAGTAGATCGAAACATGTTAGTGACGCACAAATGACGCACGAAACGTACTTATCGTTACAGATGAATGCGAATAAGCATCTCAGTTGTTATTTCGCTGTGTCTGAAAAGCACGCCCTTTTCGCAAACGGAGACTGTGCAACAATTGCTGTGACCTCGGTGCGCCCGGTAACTACAACATAATGGTACCAGTGAAAGCCCAAGGCCAGCCAAGACTTACGATTGTCTAACACCGCGAGATGAGCGCACGCGTGAACGTCCACCCTGCCCCCTCACCATGGGGCAAAGTACGCGTGGGAGAAGAGAGCGTGCGCCGACGCGTCGTGACGATGTGGTGACGCACGCCCATTGCGCCATCTTGCTGGTAATGCTGAAAACGCAATAGCTCCCTCCCGAGATGCCCGTCACCAGCGGTAAGTGGTAGATATAAATAGCTTACCGTTGAACGTTGAAGGAGGTGCTCCTTCGTGGCTCAGTCGCTAAGGCGTCGCACTCACAATTCAGGGGTCTCACGTTCGATTCCGCGCACCTGAGTCCTTCATGGGTTATTTTAATTTTTTGCGTTTTCATATATATATATATACATATATATATATATATATATATATATATATATATATATATATATATATATATATATATATATATATATATATATATATATATATATATATATATATATATATATATATATATATATATATATATGCGTATGCATATACGATGCGTGACGGCGACGTCGACACCAGAGACAAATTCCAGCTGGGAGTGTCCATATAATTGGTATCGCAATAAAAGCTCAATGATCTCTCCCGTGCAAGTACAGTTGCAAAGTGCCCAGTGCGCCATAATTCATCATTTCGCGTGACAACGGAGTACCCACCACAATTATTTGCCCCACCGCGGTGGTCTAGTGGCTAAGGTACTCGGCTGCTGATCCGCAGGTCGCGGGATCGAATCCCGGCTGCATTTCAGATGGGGGCGAAAATGCTGTAGCGCCGTGTGCTCAGACTCGGGCGCACATTAAAGAACCCCAGGTGGTTGAAATTTCCGGAGCCCTCCACTACGGCATCTCTCATAACCATATGATAGTTTTGGGACGTTAAACCCCACATATCAATCAACCACTACAAGGTTTTAAAAGCAGCAGAAAAAGACGATGCACAAGACGAAATTTGACCCAGGTCAAGCGCTGAACCAGCAACAAGTCGCTAGTTCAGCGCTTGTCCTGTGTGTTGCTATAGTTCAGCGCTTGTCCTGTGTTTTCCTTCGCGCTGCGTTTTAAATTGTGAAGTTCACCCAACTCGCCCAGTATTGTAAGCTGTTCAGAAACCTCGTGAAGGCAACAACGTTTGCGCAGAGGTAGCAGACTATAGTGCAGACATTACCGATGGCACTAAATATGCGTGGGCTCGAAGGCATTTGATACGTGGCCACGCCGGCCTCAGTTTGTGAGGGTCGAAGTGAAAGAACACTCCTGTGCTTAGATTTAGGTGCGGCTCAGAGATCCCCATGTTGCCGAAATCAGTCCGGAGCCCCACACTTTAGTGTTCCTCAAAATCATATATGATTGTTTTCGTACGTAGAACCCCCACAGTAATTATTTATATACCTGTTTATGGGGCTGGGGAGCGAATGAAGTGGATGAGCGTAAAGATACAGAAACAATATCTAATATACAGGGTGTTCCACATAACTTGAGCCAAGAATTTGAAAATAAAAGATACTTCAGTGGCGAATTGAACCAAACTACTTGCACTAGCCTTTAGGTACTCAGGCTATTTTTTATTTCTCCCCATACTAATAAGTTATTAATTATTAACTGCCAATATTTCAATAATTGGCTGGAAACCCAAAATATGAACACTGAGATGTAGAGCTCTTTCAGAAACCACTGACTAAGTTGTTTCCTGTACAATACGTGTAGCGCTGTTATTTTTTCCGGCTTATTTTCACATTTCGCGGGCTTTCTTTACAACGCGGAAAAAATAACAGTGCTAAACGTATCGTACAGAAAACAATTTAGTCGGTGGTTTCTGAAAGTGCTCTACATCTCAGTGTTGATATTTGAAGTTTCCAGTCCATAATTAAAAAATAGGTATTTAAGAATTAGTAATTAATTTGTATGAGAAGAAATAAAAAAATAGCTTGAGTAGCTACAGGCTAGTGCAAGTATAGTATGCGTTTGGTTCAATTCGCCTCCTAAGTGCCTTTCACTTTCAAATTCTTGGCTCAAATTATGTGAGACACCCTGTAATCGTATTATATATGAAACATTCGCCCTTTACGGTACACTAACGGGACATCGCATAAAGTTGAATAAAGCTTGGAAAGGAATTTCGTACGCCGTTTCAGTTGAATTCCTCGGAGTTTTACTGCCTTTTTTTTTCTTCCATACGAGCACGCTTCAGATCTTGGACAATCCTACTCTTTTTGTTCATTGTGTTTTCATCAAGGCACGAAAACCTTCGGAGCACTAATTGTGCTAGCGCGTGCGCAAATAAGCGCTCACTTAACGCATGGCACGACGCACAATCTTTCTCTTCGACCTACTGACGAGACACGTGTGCCGCTCAAGTCGACGACTTGGGCCTGTGCAGGTGATGCACTTTCTCCAAGCAAGCTTTCTCTTGACACACAAAACGACACTGTGTGAATAAGCGCACCGTGCAAGCTGAAAACGTCATTTAAAATTTAATTGTAAAATCTAATTTCACAAAGCGAACCCGGGTGCCATTCAACGGGCTGGCCCAGTTTGCCCATCGCAAAGAGGACGAACTGTTCCCGTTTCCTTTCTTCTATTCTCTCTCTTTATGCTTTTTAGTAGTCTTATTACCGGCGTTTTAAAGTGTTCTTTGTTCATGTCGGAGTGCCATCGTAAGACAGTGCCTGTTTCAGGGTCAATTAAGCTGATTGCTCTTAGAACAAAAAACATTTGAGCGCATTCAAGACAGAATGCGGGTGCCCTAAGAGAATGCGGGAAAGGGAAACAAATGTTGGAGTCGCGCATGGCAAGGACACTGTACAAGGCTTTATCGTGCACGTATAGTTAATAGGATAAGAAAAGAAGCCGTCCGGAGGACTCATGTGAAGTCCTCTTTTCTCTCGACTGCTCTGAGTGGTTCGCGGCTGCGCTACATACGAAAAACTGCCCTCTTATATACGTATAAAGATTATGTATATGATCAGGACGGTGAATGAGATACCTACAGATCAGCCGAAAGGTGACTTCATTACTCATACCGAGATAGAGACGTCATCTACTCAAGCCGGGAGCTCTGTTCACGCCTCTGCTTTGCTGAGAGCGTCTTCGTCAAGCGTCGTGGTGAAATAGGAAAGGGCGGAAGCCATAAAATTTGCAGTTCCTTCGCTCAAACACGAGCCCCTTGAGCATAGAGGCCTATTTTACGCACTGTTTCGCGTATTGCCCTTCTCCAGCGTCTGTGCTCAATACAAACAATTTATCTAAGAGTGCAACAGCCTCCTTTATGAGGGACGGAGTAAACTTGGCGTTTCCGCAACATCAAGCGCTTCTTTATTTTTAACTAGTTTAGGCCAGTGGCAACTCACTACAGCTGCTGTAGGCGTAACTATTACGAAAGCCTCCACAATGTGACTCGTGTCATGCTTGTTTCAGAAACAGCGTCCTTGAATTTGTTATCCTTTCAATGGCGGCACAGCACCACGACCATACAGGATATAGAGAGAGCTCAGAAGCGATAAATTGCCTATGTATGGTTGCGTTTGCTTGTAGCAACATAACGTATTGCCAAAGTACAGCATTGTACTTTGTAGCTTCAGCGCATCGCTCACGGAAGTGTAATAATTTGCCTTTTGTAGTCATCTCTGTTTACGTCAATAATGGTCGTCATAACACTTTCTAAATAAACTATTTGTATCAAAGTGGCACAAATTTACGCTAATAGCGAATACAGACGCGAGAGAGAAGTGGAAGGACGCAGAGAAGTCAGGCAATGAAAGGAAAGGTCGAGCGCCCGACCTTTCTGCTTTTCCTTAGCTCTTTCTCGTGTCTTTTTTCTCTAGTTTGCGCTAATATGCATTGCATCTCTTTGGTGTCGACCAACTAGCTCAGTAACCAGCCTCAATTTATTCGAGCTGCGATCTCTTTAACACCTGTATATTTTCGTCATTGAGGGCATTCGGCACTTGTTTTTTTTTTCTGCAAAGTATCCGTAGGCTACATGCGCAAGTGTATTGCACCAACTGTTCCTCATTTAGCAGCAAGCGGAAACTTTGAATGCTAATGAAGAGGCACATTTTTGATGACAGACAATTTTGTTTCTACAAATGATCTAAGCACGGCAAGAAACTGTAGACTGCAAATATTTGCCCACAGATGGGGCCTCATCTGAGATGTACACTCGACATTCTTCGTACCACTATTAATCTGTTTGTGGCAATATGTAAGAAACTGACGGAAACTCTTCTCAGATTTTTCCACGTTCTTACATTTATTTCGCACGCGCCGGTGCAGGATCTCCTGGAAAACGAGTCACTCAAGCTGGACTGGACATTCAGGTACTCCATCATCAACGACATTGTCGAGGTGAGTTGAATGAACGGAAAGGCGTGAACTGTGAAGCGATTGCAAGTGCCTCCGAGTACGGTGGGACCATCTGTTTTTCTTGAACCTTTATCCAATCGCGCTCCATCGCATACATTATTCGTCCGTAATCAATTGTCGTGACAAAATGTGAAGCATTTTGCATTTGCCGCTTAGCTAGAACATTATCTCGCGTGTTTTTGCTCAATGGAGTGTGTACTTGTACCACACTAATTCCCTTGAAATCGAGTCCGTATCTTTTGAGCCAATTTATCTGATGCTATACGGGTCAGCCTGCCACCTACTCTACTCTCTTCTTGTTTTCAGCATAATTTGCCGGTTTTATTGCGCATAGTAATTGTTATTTCATAATTTTGAAGTTTACTTTGGCGCACATGTGTGTCTGCTTTCTTTAAATATGCCATAGCTACCAGTGCCTAAAAATAATTTTTTTGCGCCCCCAGCCCTTCACAGCATCAGTTTAGTTTCAATTTTGCGCACTATTTCAATAAACAGTGCAATAAAAAAATCCTGCGATAATCTTAGTTGATCACGTGATCAGGATAACACTCAAGCACGATGTGATTTACATGTGGACAGACGATCACTTGTAGCCATTGCTTTTTATGGTATGTTTACGTAAAACTGGGAATTAAAGCTATCTCTTGACGAGCTATACTTTTCCTCAGAAGGAAAGCAGCTGCCCTATATTTATATAGGCATTCTAAAGAATCATTAAACGAAATGCTCGGAAAACTAAACGATAATCCACCGACACGTTCGAACAATCGAATCGGAGAAAAGCAGGGGCCTCGACTGATTGCTGCATCGTGATGGTGGCAGCCGGCTCTAAGACAGACCGTCAATAGGCACAGTTTGGCGATGATGCGCGGCGGTAACTTGACGAGAGCCGCGATTCGTGGCGCGCAGGGCATGAGCTTCCTGCACGGTGGCTTCATCGGCTTCCACGGCCGCCTGAAGTCCACCGCCTGCCTCATCGACGCCCGATTTGTGGTGAAAATCTCAAACTTTGGCCTGCGAGAGCTTCGGAAGCAGGTGACGCCGCCCGAAATCGAGAACCCTCGTACGTATGCATGTCGACCATCTGGTCTTTTTTTTTTTTTTTCATCCCGTGAACGCTGGTCGCCCCTCTGGCTCTCTGCATATTGTTGACGTTTCTTTTAAAAATATATATACTGAAGTTTTAAACGTCCCAGATCTGAATTAGTATACGTTACTAATTCAGATTGACATAAATTAATTTGTCAAACTTAGAGGATACTTGAGTTTCGTTTTCAAGGTGGAATGCGATAGCATCATTGGGCCCTTTGCGCATTGCCTTCCACCATGCCGCAAGGAAAGGAATATTTGTGCCCGCCAGATTGACCGCTTCAAACTATCTTAGAATGTCTACGGGATCTACAGTTGCTAAGTGCCCGCTATGTTATCATTCTTCCTTTTGCTCCTTCTCTCCTTTTCTATAACTTTCCTTCCCTCCTCCTTTTCACCACTGCATGGTAGCCTACCGGGGCTCAGCCCTGGTTAACCTACCCGCCTTTCTCCTTATTCTTTCTTTCTTTGTCTCTTCTTTTTGCTAATTGACAAAGTACCAACTACTCGTCCGTAAGAATCCCTGTGCACTTGCGTAGGTGCACGTTTTGTAACGGGTGGACAGTTTCATACCACCCACTCGTTGCGCAATTCACTTGTTTATACGCCTGGTGTGTGGTGTGATTCTAGGATTCTGTCACGCAATATGACATGAGCCGAGACTCCTTCTACTGAAGACACTCATGTGGTGTTGTTGTTTTCTTCTTTACAAAAGAAGGTTCAAGCGATGACGTGCCGTTCACGTGGCAAACGGGTGGTGAATATCTCCTTGCCTCGCCAATAGCCAGGGTTTGATTCTCACTTTATTTTATTTGCATCTTTTTTTTTATTTTGCGGTCACGGAAACGGTGATGATTTTTCGCTCACTACCAATCACGCCGATGGCGACGTCTGCGAAACAAGCTCCTTAACGTTGTCACGTTAGTATAAATCACTTCTGCATTTAAGCTAAGTTCCGTGCGCCTGTGCCCACGCAAAGCCAATTTTTGAGATGCATTTGTTTGTGAAGCTGCGTGATGAGAGGAGCAAACAGTACAATCGTGCACCGCACGAGACAACGACGTAAACTGAGTCACAATTACGTACCAACGAAGCATACTGACGAGTAATTCACACAATTACCTCACAATTACCCGTGATATAGTTGAGCATGTGCGGTCGCCAGACACACGAGCCTGGCGGCCTCTGGAAAGTTGTCTCTCGAACACTTTTCAATGAAATGTCACGAGCAATATTAACTGTATTATCTGCAGGCGTGGCGATACGCTGAAGGCATTCGCAATGGCCTACAGTATATGAAGGCTTGTGCGAACGAACAACCAAGGTGATTAATCTCACATGACATCAGAAGTTTGTGTGCCTATCAGGCGGATGTCTCGTGCCGAGAGTTACTGCAGGCGGATTTTACTCGAAACGCAGACAGTCGCTTATCCGTACACTAGATACAAAATCAGTCTCATTCGTCCTGAGATGTTTCCCAGGGTTTGCGACAGGTAAGCGTTCTGTTGGTAAGCGTTAACTTAACGATATTTTGCATCCTTAACAAGACCAGATCCAAACAAGTATACTGAATCTCTCTTAGACGCATCAACATGCCTAAGTGGGCAGTTTTCCATTTGTATCCTAAATTTCTGTGTCATCATCATAGCAGTTTTACAAACTGTAGAAAAGTTTCACAGCCGCAGGTGGCGTGATTTTTGTTTTCATGTGCAAAGGCGTTTTTATGTTGACCTTTCATTTGCCCAAAACAGTTCATTGCGAAAAGTTTCAAATTACGCATGTGTTGGTATTCGTTGTGTTCATTTTGCTTCATCAAACTTCAGTAGTTAGACAGCAGTTATATTGTGTCCTTCTGTTCATGTGCTCCGTCTTGCTCGCACTGGTTCTTTTTTTTTTTACAAGATGCATCAGTTGCGACTCACTTACCTCTCTATCTTATTGCAAAAATTATCAAAATTTTGGTACACGCGCTTGCTCTGGGGATGTGCTGTCAAGTTAGCGCATTACAGATGCCAAAAACCGAACGTCCTGACATTTCAGTCTCTTTACATCTTTTTTTTTTACGCACTTAGAGGGCCGCATTTTTTTCTTTTAAACGCAGTTAGGTTTCGACACACTTTATGAACGACGGTCTTTGCCCAGTGCGCCTCCAGGCAAGGGAGTGTTAATGGTAAGACTAAAGCTTCCTGTCAACTGTTTTCCTTGATCAGGAAGAGCGTGACCACCTCCTTGCGAAAGATCTTTACGCTCTAAAGCACTCAATCCTCCGCCCCCCTTCGCTATCACATTTTCTTTCCTGTATTAGCCTTTGCGTAGTTCAGCTCCTCTGGGCTTTGAATCCTTCTGTTCTTTCTGTACTTTTTCCCCCCTATAGATACGAGGCCCGTTAATGGATCCGCGGTGTCTTTATTCTGCCGTCGTTGCCACGTGGACCTTGGTATATGTTTACTAAGCGGCTGAAGAAATGGTTTGTGAAAAGCAGAGCAACGCATGCCTTTCAAAACATCGCCCATCGGAGTCGCGGCTACGGCAGATTTGTCTCTGTCCATTTGGGCGACGTGGATTTGCCGTTCAGTTCCTGTTAGACCGGCTTAGTGTAATGGACGGGAGCTATTTCTCAATAACCTTGGAAACTGCTTCGAGGGTGGCCCACATGAAAGTGGGAAAACCGGGAAAAGCGGAAGTTGGCTGAAGAGTGGCCCGAGCGGCGGCGTGTAGTATAGCATTGGTTTAAGCCGTTAATGACAGGTGGTAACTTCATTTGGCTCCCCCTCACCTACCTGCACTGGCGCTCCTTCGCCCCATCCAGACCACGGCATTTGGTGACTTTCTCACCAGGGATAGGGAACATCGTTTCAGAAGCATCGTGCGCTATTACTCATGTTGAACACTATAATAACCAATCTCGTTAAGATCGGATTCAATGGTATTTTTGTCATTATAAGATTGAAATATGCGATACATTACCCAGCTGTCTGCGAAAATCCTGATGGAAAATCAAATGTAAATTATTAATGTAGTGCAAGAAATGTGATGGACCTGGAATAATAGGGGCTGGTACTTTATGCGCCAAAACCCCGATATTACTAACAGACTACGCCGCATATAGTGGGGGACTGCGGAATAATTTTGGCCACTCGGGTTTCCTCTACGTGCCCTTAAATCTATGTATCTAAGCCCAGGGGCTTCTTTGTATTGATATGTGGCCGCCGTGTGCGGGAATCGAACCCACGCCCTCGAGGTTATCAACGCATTGCCTTACGCGCTAAACTACCTCGTCGTGTGGGGCCGAGAACACGGGACTGCGGTCGGGTAATTGACCGACTTAGTCGATGTTGTTCCGTCTATGTCATATAACGTCATACTAGAGAAAGGAAGGGGAAATCGAGGGTTTGGAACAGATGCGACAGCTGACTTTCTTGTTGTTGTTGTTCTAATTTCTGAGTGAGTGCACATGTACAGGTGAGAAGGTGCGTTATTTCACGAGAACCTAAGGTAATTAAAACGGTACATGGCAAATACAAGGCAACAAAACTAGGTTGAATTACGGCTACACCCCTGCCCGCGAAGCCATTGCCGCGCATCCTGCAGTTAAAGGTAGCACTGTATACACTAATTTACGGACGGGTTTCAGTGCCACCATATTGGATGGTTAACCTTTGTTTTTTGTGACTTTAACAACTAAACAAACAGTGTTAAGGGTAGACTCATACACGTGAAAATAGTTGGGTCAGCGCATACTATGTTTCATGGTCTATAAGACCATGAAAGTTCATGTAACAATATACCAAAGCATGAAAACCAGCCCAAGAATAGTCAATCCGTCATATAGCTGCAGAAGGCTTACAAGCTGCGTTTTCATCCAATCCCAGCGTATCCGAGCTGTTCTGAACTGATTTGACTGCATGATTTGCTTGTGGCGTGCCGAAAACACGGCTTTCTGGTGGCCCTATTTACTGCGAAGTGATTGGAAGGCCAAAATTGACTTTTTTTCGCCCGCAGACTATATTACCAACATACTCAAATGGCTGGGAGCGTTGTTTGGATCTAAGAACCGGACAGAGCCATATACCGGAAGCTCGTGCTTGAGCGTTAACGAATGGAGACTTTTCATTAAAAGTAGTTAGTGTTTGCTGAACAAGAGTCAAAGAGGGATCCACCATGCAGACTCTTGTAGAATAATTAAATCGTTAAGCACATTTGAACGGTGAAAATTCACGAACCTCGGAGCACAGTATTGAATGATTTGTATCTAATATGCCGTGACAAAATAGTGTAGTCTGTGCTTCAACGTTCGGGAATGTTTTAACGTTTTCTTAAATGTTTTGACAATTTTCTTGGTTTTACTAGACAGTGACGATGTGTTATTGGACCCTTGCGTTCAACAAACACTATTCTTCGCAAAAAAAAAAAGGCTTCATTCAATAATGCTGCCACAAGAGCTTCCGGAGTAACGCTCGATCCGGTTTCTAGCTAACGCTCTCAGATATCATGCCCGCTGGCAATATGTCCCATACGGACAGGCGTAAAGAGCTCTGATGCTTTGCAAGGGTTGATGCTTGGGCAAGTTGGGGGGGGGGGGGGGGATACATTTTCAGAAAGTATGAACAACGCATAGAACGATTAGGAAAGAATGACACAACGGAGGCAAATATCGCCGACTTTCAACTAGTTTTTTTTTTATTTCGACAGGTACTGCCTATATACAGTGCAAGAAAAAAGGTGCGAGACCAAAAAAAAAATAAGAAAAGGAAACAGGAAAGGTTGTACGTACATGTGGGGCAAGAGTCGCTTGATCATTTCACTTACTTCGAGCGTATCACCACATGTGCCCCAAACCTCAGCTATGTAATCAATTTCTTGATTTAAAAGCGCAATATATGGTGTGCTAACAGACTTATCACCCAGATTATGTAACATATCTGCTTCGGTAACTTAAGAAGTCAGTGCTGTTAACGTTTTTTTTAAACGAAGCTTTGCATTAAACCATGTTGCTGTCGGAAAAAAAAAAGTTACTTTTATCAGAGACATGGAACGATTGGTTACCTTATTAAACGTTGTTTTATCAAACTTTGTTCATTTATATTCAATGGTGCTCAATTTGCTGGGTTTCCGAAAAATAATTAGAAAATTTTGATGCATAAAGGGATCTTTAAAAACTAAGTTTTTCTGGTTTTATTATTGAATGCACTTGCGATGCACAGACAGTTTTTTTTTTTTTTTGAAAATGGCAATCTCCTCTTTCAGCAAACCGTCATCAGGGAGTACATCTTGGTGAGCTACATCGAAGCACTAGTCGCATTTATAGGTAATCACTAGGTGTAAACAATTAGCGTGCATCCCCCCTTCTATAACAAATAAAAATAAAACAGACAAATCTGGCAAGCGCGCCTTCTCGGAAAGCATCCTTTTCATTGAAACTGTGAGAAACACTTCATTATCTGTTTACCTCGGATGCCGATAGCGACAAATTAATTTACTCGCATGGTCAGTAACAATGGTGGGGAATACAATCGGCTTGTTACCCATGTTTTATGACAGGCACCGATATTAGGGTACACCGGCATCCGTCGCTTTGCGTCGTCAGTGACGTGGTGGCAGCCAAATGCACTCGCTGTACAGCATCGTGCAGTGTGCGTGACAGAGGTGATCGACGTGGTGCGCAGGGAGCCTTCTGTGGACAGCCCCCGAGCACTTGCGCGAGGAGATTCCTGGCGGCTCGGTCAAGGGAGACGTCTACAGCTTCGCCATCATTCTTCAGGAGATCCTCACCCGCTCGGGGCCCTTCGAGAACTTGGAGAAGTATTCAAAGCACTTCCTACCTCCGGAAGGTATCTGCGCCGCAGTCTCGCGTTTATACGAATACACATTGTGAGTAGAAGTATAATGCATGCAAGTATGGACACAGAATTCTTGCTGTCTATATAGTTGCGCCCTCCTTTGTCCATGCCTTACTTTAGTCCACGATGAATCCGTACCCACTGCGTCAACTTTCTGTCGTTCTGTGCACGATGCGCCGTAAGGCGGATTCATGCCGCCCCTGTTGTCGTATGCTATGTGAAAGAGTTCAAATTCTGTTTTCATGCTCGAAGCGAGAGACAAAAACCCGGCCGAGTATATAAAAAAAGTAAGAAACAACTAATCTTATATAACGTCTCCGTTTAGCCTGCGGTGCGATTACAACGCAATCAGCTTCACTTTCACTGTATATCCTTTCCGTAACAAGGTATCGACGCATGATAAAGGACTGAAGAAAGCAGTCTTCTGGTATTATAGTTATTGTAAGCATGGTTTACACAACCTACAAAAGATAGTTGCTGTTACAAACAAATCGAGTTCGCCACGGCGCAAGCGTTGAGCCATACAAGCTAGGCGTGATGTTCCGGATGAGGCAGGGGCTTACGAGAAGGTGGACCGCTCTCTTGCACGGGAAATGAATGTACAGCGTCTGCGTCTCCAGAAATCAGCTCTTGGCGACAGAGTGGGCCGAGAAATTTTATAAGGTGGGATGATGACCGCGAGAATGCAAGTCGTAGATTGAAGATGGAGAAACCGAACCTATCTTGTGTACAGAGTCGGCGTGGAGGCAGAGCCGACATGCCGGCTGAGAAATAGGTTAAATTCTTCAGCTCTCTCGGAGATTCTCGTGCAAGCGATCGTCTGCCAAAGTAAAATATTGGAATATGGAGCGCAGTGGTTCAGCATGTGTGTGGAACCTCTCAGCGGGGATAACACGTCATCTGCCGTTCAGAGCTTGTGTATTACTTATCGGAGCGATACATCGGTAGAATAAGAGTAAATATATACGAAACAGCGTAACTGAATTGATAAAATAGTAATCGTGAAAGGAGTGCCTTATCATTGATCTGTCTGCCCGTGCTCTGCAACCGCCTATATAGATATGTCGACAACTATACACACGCGTTGACTTGACAAACACAAAATGTGCCCATATTACCCGTTCTCAAAACGGGACAAAATGCCCACGCCTTTTTCTAGAGCAGTCTGCAGCTGTCGTGAGCATGAGCACCATGAGCCCAGTAGGGCGCCAATTTGGTGTATACACGAATTTGTACTTTTTGTACTTTACAGATACACACTATATAGCACCCCTCTTTCTTTCCCCCCCTCTCTCTCTCTAATACCGCTTCGAGATCCTGCAGTTTAAACACGGTGTTATTGGACAGCCAGCGACACGGACGAGTTTCAGAGCAAAGAAAACGGCGAAAGTGCAGATGTATTACATCCGGTGACGCGACTCTCAAGTCCCTGCTGCTGCTTGATCTCTCCAAGCTTGCTACTCGGATGCTCGGACTTCCGGTAGATCGACGCCCTTCCGTTCTGCTATGCCGGAAAATAGCATTGAAAGTGCTCGGGATTTGATCCCACGTTGCGTTACTTCAGGCCGGCCTTCTATCGACACTTTCGTTGCGTTCTGACTTACACAAGCAAAATAAATGCGCGAAAGGCATTGCCGATGACCATCCCAGTTTTTACTCCAAACTATGCCGTTCCTCGTGTGCGTCTTTAAATCTTGCACTGAATTTGTTTCAATGTTATGAATGAAACATAAGACGTTGCTATGTATAAGATAACGCAGCATAGGTGCCTGCACCTGACATAAGTCTACGTTTTTTACACAAGCACAAGGGGCAACCAAAGTTACTTACAGCAGTACAATTAATATTATTACATATTGACAATCTTTGTCACCATACCGAGTTGCCGCTAAGAAAATCCTCGTGTGCATGGTTGCGTAAGAAGCACCATTTGCTTTCGTTGTATGGTGTCTATGATGTCGCCATTGCGTGATGAAATACATGTTCAGAGCCTCGCTGATCAGAAAGCTGACACAGTGCCTATAACTTTTGGTAGTTAATTAAAAAAGTGAAATAAAACGAGGGTATACCGTGTTGTGAGCGATCAGTGCCCAGTCCGCAATAATACTGCAGCTCTTTATTGGAAAAAAAAAAACTTGACTGTGTGAAATACCCGTGGAAGTACGATTAGCGTGTTCTTAATGTGCGTCTAATTACAATGTATACTTATAAAATAAGGCCATCCGTTTTATTTTCTGCAATTACGACTGGCCTTTCCGCCCCTCCTTCCATCTTGACGCTAGGTCTACAACACCTGTCCGAGCGATGTTGCTGTGTATTCTTGTAAATACTCCACGCTACTGAGCAACTCATTGCATCGCTGAGTAACTCAGGGGAAGAATTGTGATTCACGATTACTGAATTAGACAAGGAGAGCAGAGAGGTAGTTCTTAAGATTAATCTGCTGGAAACGAAAGGAATGTACAACAACCTCGGAAAAGAACAGTGCTTCGAGATTATTAGCAGCACACTTGAAGTTGTAACAGAGTACGTCTATATATTTACATAAGACAGCTAGTAACCGCGGAGCCGAACCATGAGATTGAAGTACCCAGAAGAATAAGAATGGAATGAAGCACATTCGACAAGCATTCTCAAATCATGAATGATAGATTGCCACTATCCCTCAATGAAGAAGGTACATAACAGCTGCATCTCACCTGTACTTACCTACAGAGCGGAAACCTAGGTCATTACAAAGATGGTTCAACTTAAATTGAGGACGACGCAGCGAGCAATGGAAAAAAATTGATGGGTGTAACCATAAGGGACAAGAAGAGAGCAGAGTGGATCAGGGAACAAACGCGGGGTTAAGGATATCATAGTTGAAATCAAGAAGATGAAATGGACATAGGGCGGGCGTGTAGCGCGTAGGCAGGATAACCACTGGTCAATAAGGCTAACTGACTAAATTCCCAGAGAAGGCAAGCGGTTTGGGGAGAGGCAGAAGGTTAGGTGGGCAGATGAGATCAAGGAGTTTGCGGGTATACATTGGCAGCAGCAAGCACAAGACCAAGTTGACTCGCGGCACACGGAAGTGTCCTTTGTACTGCAGCGGTCGTAGTCAGGCTGATGATGATAACCATGAACTGTCTTCCAATATACTGAAACTTACTAGCAATAGCCTTAAATTCGACCTCACACCATTCTAACCACGTACTAAACTATTTGTTTAAATTCAGCGTATTTGAAACATAAGCCTTCTCTTCCTAGCCATGACTTCCAAGACTTGGTTTATCTAATCTACGCCAAATAAATGACGAGGTTTTGTGGTTTTGCAAAGAAAAACACGGGTTGTGAGGGACGCTCACCGTTTCTTTTTTTAATTGATGAATAGGAGAGGTTGCGCCTTTATGGTGGCACCCGACTACTCCTTCTCGCTGCAAACAAAATATACAATACTAAATAATGAATAAAAAGGACACAAAATCTCTCACATGTGTAACACAAAGGAGGAGAGGAAGGACAGGGAGGTTAGCCAGTTCTCAGACCGGCTGGCTGCCCTGTGCTGGGGAAGAGGATAAGGGTAGTAAAAGATAACAGAGATGTGTATTTTGCTTGCCTGTACTTGTTCTCGAATATTTGTTACTCATAGGCTGTTGATTTGTATTGTGTCAGCGTCACAGTAAAATCCAACAGCCAATGTGTCAGAAATATTCGAGCACGAGTTAGGGCAAGCAAGATAAGTTCACATGTACACGTACAAACCGAGGTGTTCTGTATGGCTTGACGTGCACAAAAAACACAAAAGACAAATAATTACGCATAGTGTGACACACAGGGGCATCAATAAGGGGGAAGGGAGGTTCAAACCACTCCCCCCGCAGTTTTTCAGTTTTGCTGGCGTATATACACACGCACACATACAAACGCAAGTACGAACATACATAAAGAATAATTGAATCCCCCACTCCCCCACCCGCTCCTGAAAAAAAATTCTGCTACAACATCACAACAATATGCTATTCTTAATATACCTTTATAATGAGATTAATGATGCGCATATTGTTTCCAGGAAAAATTCTACTTTAATATTTAAATAAAATACTTGTTTCCTGGAGAAACTTTTTTTAAAATGACGAGCCCCCTTTTTTGGAGGCCCGCTGTTGGCCATGGACCAAGTATTTTCTTGACAGTGGAAGCTCTTTCTCCTGAAAACAGCAAATTGGCCCGTAAGACGTTTCGTGATGAGTCGTATGTCGGACACTAGAACTACGCGCTGTACATTGTCGTCATGAGCGACAAGATCATTGAAGTGCACGCTTTGTCCTGTCTAAAAAGTGTCGTGGAAACGCTTTGCCAAGTCGCAGGTGGTGCACTCATGTTTGGATCTTTTTTTTTTTTCATTTTGCCTCACATATGAAGGAATTGATAGCTTTATAAAACGGGTATTTAATGTAAACCCAAAGTTTTAGATAATAAATCAAACCATTTATTTTTGGCGAGACGTCATGATACCTGTCTCGGGAGCACGGATTGCATTGCGTGAAAGTGTAATTGCCCATTTGCTCATTCGTTCTACACTAATTGTATACCCTATTCGCAGCCGCGTCCACTGTTGCAGCGTTACCAAGAGTGTTGCAGTGACCCGGTATACCCCACGTGGTTCATCACACATTCTTTTGCTTCTTCTGTCAGTGCCATAGAATCATATAGAGTTTAGATAATTATTTTCATTGCTCTGTAGCCACAGTGGCTCACGAATAGCAAAAAAAGATTACCCGCATTTGTGTATCTCTTACTCATGCATATATACTGCAAGCAGTTGTGCCGCAGTGGAAGGTGTCATTTGAGAAATTTCCAATCTTTGCTCGATCGCCAAGTCTTGCACGACAAAAGCTGAGGAAAATGAATTCGCATAACCCGAACCTACAGGTAGGCTAACCGGGTAGAAGAAACAATTCGCTACCCTGCACACGGACAGGGAAAGAAGGGTCGAAAAGAGGATATAGAGACATAGAGATAAAACAAATAAAAAAAGAATACACGTACCGGTGTGTAGTACGTGAGCAGAATGTTGGGCTTTGGATACACCAACGTCATTTGCTTTCCCAAAATATGCAAAAATCTAAAACTCCCTTTCATCTCGCTCGCTATCCAACATAGAGCTGCACACGAGTGGCGTTTACTTATACAAAAGGTACACATCCGTGAGTGCGGATGGCTGTTGGCGCTACGGCGTTTTTCGTCGCGGGTGCAACAGATTCATCTCACATACGTACTCCGGCGCGTCACAGTGTAGAAGAATGACGAGTCTCTCTCTCCTTCTAATCTTTCTATTCTTTCTAGTCAGTCCCGTATCATGACAGCTCTTAGAAAACTCCGAAACGTCGGAGGGAGATTTTTGCGGTAAAATTGGTTGTAGTGAGCGAGCCTGTAGTAAGGAGGCGCTTGTTGGTGGAAATGCGTGTTCTAACGTGTGCAGAGATCCTGTTTCGAGTGAAGCTGGGCTCGCGGCCACCGTTCCGACCTGACGTCACTCCCGCCGACTGCCCGCGCGAGCTGCTGTCACTCATGAAACTCTGCTGGAATGAGAGCCCCGCGCTGCGTCCTTCGTTTGCCATACTCAAGCAGCTGATGCGCAAGTATACCAGGCGAGTGCCCCTTTATTCACCAGCTGTGTACCTCCACAGCAACTCGATGATCTGTACCTTAGATGACCGCCATAATTTTTGTGCGAACTCAAGCAGCAGCCACTTCCTCAATGTTCTTTGTCATATTAATATCACAATCATCATGATCATCATCATCATCATCATAATCATCATCATCATCAGCCTGACTACGTCCACTGCAGGACAAAGGCCTCTCCCATGTTCCGCCAGTTAACCCGGTCCTGTGCTTGCTGCTGCCAATTTATACCCGCAAACTTCTTGATCTCATCTGCCCACCTAACCTTCTGTCTCCCCCCAACCAACTTGCCTTCTCTGGGAATCAAGTTGCTTACCCTTAATGACCACCGGTTATCCTGTCTACGCGCTACATGCCCGGCCCATGTCCATTTCTTCTTCTTGATTTCAACTATGATATCCTTAACCCCCGTTTGTTCCCTAATCCACTCTAATCTCTTCTTGTCTTTTAAGGTTACACCTACCATTTTTCTTTCCATCGCTCGCTGCTTCCTCAATTTAAGCTGAACCCTCTTTGTAAGTCTCCAGGTTTCTGCTCCGTAGCTAAGTACCGGCAAGATACAGCTGTTATATACCTTCCTCTTGAGGGATAGTGGTAATCTAGCAGTCATGATTTGAGAGTGCTTGCCAAATGTTTTCCACCCCATTCTTATTCTTCTAGTTACTTCAATCTCGTGGTTCGGCTCCGCAGTTATTACCTGCCTTAAGTAGACAAGTCTTTTACAATTTGAAGTGTACTATTACCGATCTTGAAGCGCAGCTCTCTTCCGAGGTTGCTGTGCATTACTTTCGTTTACTGCAGATTGATTTTAAGACCCACTTTTCTGCTCTCCTTGTCTAACTCCGTAATCATGAGTTGCAATTCGTCCCCTGAGTTACTCAGAAATGCAATGCCATCGGCGAAGCGCAGGTTACTAAGGTACTCTCCATTAACTCTTATCCCTAACTGTTCTCATTCTAGGCCTCTGAAAACCTCCTGTAAGCACGCGGTAAATAGCATTGGGGAGATATAATGAGTTGGTGTATATGTCTACCTTAGGAAAGCACATATAGTAACTCAATTTTGATAGGGATCACGGTGCCATCTCAGAGCTGTGCGGCGTTTTGCGCGTCACGAATGTCGATGAGAGCAGGCATTGAGTGCTGCTCCAATCAGCAACTTCTGTAAAACCGTGGCTTCCATGGTATTCTCAGTGGTAGCAGACTGTTGATCTGGAAGGTACCACTGTGAAGATCGGACGTCGCTTTGTGCGCATCTGAGCGTCGTGTGAAAGACGAAGGTGCGAATGAGATTAACTATGTGTTGATTCCAACAGGACCCACATTATCTGCTGCATTTATTTACCTTAACGTGAGCTTCCGGGCTTCTGTGCATGCGTTTAGCGCTGTGTTCACTGCAACTAAGCTCATTTACCCAGTCTTTGTCACAATCACCGCCACTGCGTCGAGGATCGCATTTTCTTCGTTACTTCATTTTTGACCTCCCGTGTAAAGCATCTCAAAAAACGATACAAATCCAGCTTATACATCTCCCCTAAAACAAACACTGCCATGGAAATTCTTCACTTCTTCACCTGCGCTTAACTTGTCTCGCAACCTGGGTCCATATCACGGTATCATTTCCAGCTGGCATCCCGTCGCAAAATCACTGCTCTAAATAAAGTCCGCCGTCTCTTCCAACAACAACAACAACAACAACAACAACAACAACAACAACAACAACAACAACAACAACAATAATAATAATAATAATAATAATAATAATAATAATAATAATAATAATAATTTTATTATTATTATTATTATTATTATTATTATTATTATTATTATTATTATTATTATTATTATTATTATTATTATTATTATTATTATTATTATTATTATTATTATTATTATTATTATTATTATTATTATTATTATTATTATTATTATTATTATTATTATTATTATTATTAGACATTATGAAAATAACGTTTTAAACCACAACCGGGATACTGATTTGATTTCATTCGCCATAAGTTTTCATTTTCTTGTATTCTGTTTTACTTATCATTTCTGGGTGTTGATGGTGTTGTCTTTCAAAATAAATTATAAAATTTCACTTTCGTGTGTAATCAATCTCTGCGCTGCAGTGAGTTGTCCTGAGCAATATTATTGGTGCATAGCAGCAGAAACTATGCCGAAGAAAGCAATTATCTTGCTAACACCGTATTCAACTCGGGTTGCTAACTCGGGTTCAGACATCCTTTCACGTTCGTCCTACAGCGGGGCTGATATATGTTTCCTTGCCAAGAATTGCCGTACCGCAAACAGCTTTACCCGCACACGACGTCAAAATGAATCCGCAGGGACCATGCCCTATCAGAGACCGCGGCAACACAATCCTACGTCTTCGCTGGCTTTTTGACTTCCACCTGTTTTTCTTGTCTTTTAAATGACACCTCAATGTTTTTTTTTTCTGATAACTCAATCACTTCTTCTTATTTCTCTCACTTTCATTAAAACGTTGGAACGTTACTTTCCTCCGTCTACTCTACTTCGTGACGCTCCAACAACACTTCGCTATACTTTGCTTAGGTTAAACCGTAAACCATAACCTGTCTGATATTAACTAAAGATGAGACACAAAAGTCAATGTGCTCTTCATCATAGTGTACATGCACGAGAAAACAAAGCCACCATTTTGAACCTGCGCGTACGCCGATTCAAAATGTTCGCACTGGGGAAAAAAAGAGCCCTAATAAGAAAGCGCGTTTAAGTAAAAAGAAGGGCTGTGCCTTGAATTCAGCGAAATGAAGAGCAGCACTAATACTGACACGTAAAACGGGATATGTGGTTCCTGTGATTTATCAGGCCGCTAGCCAATATCGCCATTCGCCGATATTGCGATTTCTTTCAATGTTGTGCAAGCGAGTGTAAGACAAAGTTTAATGGAAAGAGTCTGGGCAGTGGGCTTTCTCTCTCTTTGTTTTGCGCAGACGACGTTGTTGCCTACGCTGTGAACGCCCTTCATTCAATCGCACGCCACCCACACGTACCTCTTTAAGAAACTAACTTGCACGACCCGTGGATGGCCGTCTTTGTTTCAGGTGTTTGTCATGCTCTTTAAATGAAAGTTGACTGACGGGTCTCTGTTGTAGCTTGGCCTTGTATACAGCATTCAGTCCAACACTTGTTCGAATAAAAGATAGAGGGACGAACTTAATGAAAACGAAGATGGCTGACGTGAGAAGAGCTGTACCGTTTATTATTCTATATGTGGACTTCACGGCGAATGACGAAAGTCGGATTTGAAGACGAAGAAATTTGCCAGAAAGACGAGGAGGAAACAAGCCCGCATATGTTTACGCTCTACAACGTTCCCGTCATACAGGACCGGTGTCGGGGCTTAAAATTTCACGCCATTTATACAAGACCTACAACAAAAAAGAAAGAAATAGGCAGAGGTACAAGTCCTTCCACTAGTTTTTTTTTTTTTTTTGCTATCCCGTCGAACGTCGAATTTAGGTAAAGAGCCCCAGGTGGTCGAAATTTCCAGAGTCCTCCACTACGGCGTCTCTGGTGGTTTTGGGACGTTAAATTCCACACATAAATCAATCAACGTCTAATTTAGGCAAACTGGCATCTTTTTATTAGCCCATTTCCAACTCCTATATTGACAACATCGCTTCCACATTGATACGCATCGCAATATTACTTCTCCAAGTAGCTGATTTTTTGTGACGTTTGCTTCCTCTTACTAACGTTACGCTTGCAAAGAAGCCAGCTTTACAATAAACATTGATTGTGTACATTGAGGAAAAATTTATTGAAGTACTGCTCCTATTGGCCTCGAGATCTTGTAGGGGCGCTCACTGGCGTGTGACGTCAGTTTGTGGACTCCGCTCTGAACCGAGCTGCAGCAGTCACTGCTCCTGTGCACGGATCGTCTGCTTCGGGTGGGAACTTTGTCGAACGAACAGTTTCGCGAGGGTCAACTAACGCCTATGACAATTATTTTCGAGTGGAATTTATGAATTTGCTTCAGTTTCAGCCTGATTGACAGGTCCAAGAAACCTCCCATATGGCCGATAAGCACGACGATGCCGCTGACCGCATTGCTGGTCAGAAGGTGAAATTATGTGTGAGTGTTCTCGTTCGTAGTCTGTAGTTTCCACCGTGCGATACTAACTAGTTCGGGTGTTTTGAAATTTCAATGAGCGCGCCTTTCTCCAGCATCTACAAGCATGTAGATACAGCAAGCGAAGCGTCGCGGTGTCTCATTGACGGCGCGGTGATGTATACGACGCAGGCCACGTTGTTGAATGTGCGCAGCCGGTGCCGTCAATGGAGATCACATCACTGTCGCGGCTCTATAGTGAACGCAGATATACACTGATGGGTCCGTCTCGTCCAGCAGCTCATCAGGTGCCGCTGTAATTCCGGCTGCAGCAATGACAATCAAGTTTAAGTTGTCGCATATGACTACATCTACGGCATCAGAGCTTGCTGCTATAAGGGCTGCTTTACAATATCTCGTTCAAGAACGTCCAGGAAAATGGGTCATATTCTGTGATTCGAAGGCAGTGCTTCAGAGTTTGCAGTCTGCCATGCGTAGGAGGAGTCGGGACCAATTGGTACAAGAAATAAGACATTGCCATCATGAAGCTCTAGCACGAGGGCATGATATTATATATCAATGGCTGCCTGGACATATCGGTATTACCGGAAATCAATTAGCCGACGATGCAGCCCGCTCTGCCCATGAAGGAACCCGTGTAGTCCCGATTCCTCTATCAAGGAATTATGCAGCAAGACAACTTTACCTGCTGGCTCGAGATCTCACACGCACGTTCTGGTCGTCTACCAGCTTCCAAAGGTGTCAATTTTATGAACTGGATCATTCGCTCAAGCTAAAGCTACCATCACAACTTTCCCGCTCCGATGCGACACTGTTATGCCGCCTTTGGTTGGGTGTTGCATTTACAAAGGTGTACTCCTTTCGCATTGGTATGGCAGACACTCCTACATGCGACTACTGTGGAGCTGAAAAGACCATCGAACACGTCCTGTGCAGCTGCGCTTGCTACGACACACAGCGATGCCAGCTCCGGATGGTTTTGAATCAACTTGACCCCGGACCATTTTGTGTGCAGAAGATACTAGGACCTTGGGCATCTGCCTCAGTTGCGCAGAAAGCAACTAAAGCACTGCTAATTTACCTAAAGTCAACAAACCTGAGCGACCGCCTGTAGACTATGTGTGCTCCCCGAGTGTGCTCGTTATTGTGTGTACCTTCTCATCTCTCTGCAACCTCTTTTCTCCCCTTTATCCCTTCCCCAATGCAGGGTAGCAAACCGGATGTGCGTCTGGTTAACCTCCCTGCCTTTCCTTGCATCTTTATCTCTCTCTCTCTATCTCTATAGTGCTGAAAACACGGGGACTTGCGAACCGGCCACACAACGTCCCCGCGGCGATTGAGTGCTGTGAAATGGTGAAGTACTGCTCTGTACCTCAGTGAGCTTCGTCCGCCCGTGAAAAGGACGTTAACTTTCACAACAATCCTGAAAAAGAAGGGCACGCCTGCCCTTTTCCTTTAGATATTTTTTTCTGCAGTGCAATGATAGTGAAAGTGAACATGATGGTATGTGGGATAATCGCTGATTTCTGCCACTCTAGCATTCACAACCAACTCATGAGATAATTACAGCAGAGTAGCTTGTTGCTTCGGCAGTCAATCGACCGTTCATGGCATCTACCAGAAACGCAAAGTAGCATCAAATTACCAAACTTGAGTTAATCATGCTTAGATTGCAGTTATGGACGTCGGCAGGACGCAAGCCCGTCTTGAATCGCAGTAAGAAAAATCTTCAGGGGTAGGTGCTGGTGTGACTAGGAAGGGGGAAAGTTCCACCTTAATACACCCCCTGGCCGATGCAAATGATTGCAGTTTGCCCAATAAAGTTTGTTCAATGAGAGTGACATCATGAATTATCTTATGTTATACCGCATAAGGCCGTCGCTCAGGTATCAGATTATAACAAATAGTTATGGCTGATTTTATATGCCACGCACAGGGCCACAAAGATTGAGTGAGAACCTTTAGTGAGTGTGCACTAAGCAGCGGCAGCAGGTTTCACGTATGAAGTTATGGTACGCAGTGTGCTAGGCACACGCTTGTCTTCATCAGAAAGTTACTTATAAATATACATGCTGTACGTACACCAAATATACAAAGCTGAAGGCTCAGATGTTCGACGCCACTCAGCTGCGCTCACGAGGCGCGCTTACTCGAGGTGATTCGGAGGCCGCGTCGTCGGCTCCCTGTCTAGGGACCTTCGACCTTCGTCTAGGGACCTTCGTATTTCGGGACGGCTCCTCACCTGGTGTAAGCCACCTAGGCCTGTAGCTTGCGTGTAATGACTGGCTGAAGTACTGGCGAGGCGCTGAAACACGGTTGAAAGCTTACTGAAAAGGGGGGGGGGGGGGGGGTAGGGCAGGTATAGCAAAAGTCATTGTCAGCGAAGTGCTTGCTGCACATGGTCGATGAAGACGTGGGGCACTTTCTCTCTCCGAGTTTGACTATCCACTTCTTCCTCAGCTTCGGGTTCTTAGGATAGTAGGACAGTTGTGAAAGCTAACGCCCTTTTCACAGGTTGGTGATCATATAGAGGCATAGAGCAGTACTAGTACTACACCGTTGCACGCCCCGCCGCGGTGGTCTAGTGGCTAAGGTACTCGGCTGCTGACCCGCAGGTCGCGGGATCGAATCCCGGCTGCGGCGGCTGCATTTCTGATGGAGGCGGAAATGTTGTAGGCCCGTGTGCTCAGATTTGGGTGCACGTTAAAGAACCCCAGGTGGTCGAAATTCCCGGAGCCCTCCACTACGGCGTCTCTCATAATCATATGATGGTTTTGGGACGTTAAACCCCACATATCAATCAATACTACACCGTTGCGCAGCACTCACCGTGGACACAAAGGGCCGCAGTTTTAAGAAACAAAGCACTGTGCTCCTAAAATAAGCGTTAAAAGCGGACACCCATGGCTGTTCGCACAGTGTCGATGGCCACAACAGACAAGATAATCACTTGAACTGCGTCTTTGCTGAGTTTTACCACGACGGTGGTTTCTATACGGCGCCGCGCCTCGAAAGCGCGCGAATCCTCGAACTGACGTCATACAAGTGCGGTTCACAGCGCCGCCATCAGTCGCACACCAGGCCAATAAAGTTAACCCCTTGCTAACTTCGTAGGCGTGTATGTTCGCAAGTAATAAAACTTAAGTATATCCTCAGAGAAATTACAAACCCGCTTTGATCACTTTCACGACGTCCTGGTGGTTCAGCTTTGCGATATAGTCAGAAATCAGGAACCAAAAGTAAACGACATACAAGTTGTTAATTTCCCGATTTACAACTTGTATGTTGTTGCACCAAACGAAAAGCTTGTTAAGGACCACCAAATGAATTCTGTGTTGAAAGTGCTAGGAAGGTGCTATTGCGCCATTTCGAACAGCTGTGCATTTCAAAATACAGATTACATAGCCGAGTTATTACGAGTAATTTCTCACCAGGGTAGTAGATGATCTGTCGTGTTAGTAAACTGAGTACTGCATTAAGGCATATATGCACACATTCATGGTGCGAAAACAAACGGCACCGTGCGTTGTCTCATCGTGCAGGCAGATGGGTAGCAGCAACCTGCTGGACAATCTTCTGCAACGCATGGAGCAGTACGCCAACAATTTGGAGCAGCTGGTCGAGGAGAAGACGGCCGCGCTGGTCGAGGAGAAGCGCAAGAGCGACGAGCTGCTCTACGAGGTGCTGCCACGCTCGGTGGCCGAGCAGCTCAAGCGCGGCGAGTACGTGCAGCCGGAGGCATTCGAGTGCGCTACCATCTGCTTCAGCGACATCGTCGGCTTCACGGCCATCTGCGCGCACAGCACGCCCATTGAGGTGGTGGACCTGCTCAACGACCTGTACTCCTGCTTCGACGCCATCATCATCAACTACGACGTGTTCAAGGTGGAGACCATCGGAGACGCCTACATGGTGGTGTCTGGCCTGCCTGTACGCAACGGCAAAGAGCACGCACGAGAGATCGGCCGCATGACGCTGTCACTTCTTACGGCCATCTCGGGCTTCCGCATCCGGCACCAGCCGTCCAACAAGCTACGTCTGCGCATCGGCGTCCACTCGGGCCCCTGTGCGGCCGGCGTGGTGGGCCTAAAGAGACCCCGCTACTGCCTCTTCGGCGACTCGGTCAACACTGCCTCCCGTATGGAGAGCTGCGGCGAGGCCATGAAGATCCACATCACTCGCGAAACCAAGCGCCTGCTCGACACCTTCGGCACCTTCCGACACCGACTGCGTGGAGACATCTACGTCAAGGTGCGCCACTTTTTTAACCAGTGCTTAGAATATAGTACGTGATTTCACGCAAACACTGAGAACAGTGTTGACAATAGTGTAACGGCGATGTGAACGGCACGCTTGTGTACTATACATTAACTCAGTTTCCATCGAACTGTGCTCTATAGGCTACACGATATTTCTTTACAAATGCTCTGTGGGTTTCAGTACCCGTATATGTTCCTCTAGAGCTGTTGGTCTCTCAAAGATACAAAAGTTGAACAAATGCACAGCTGCAGCTTTGAGGTTTCAAGGTTTCACCGTGCGTTTTACTGCAGTACAGTTTTTTTTTCTTTGCTTTCTTGGAACACAGCGAAACAGTAATTTCAACAATACCTTGATTTGGACAAATTAGTCCATCACTTGAGGATACTTGAACAGCGCAAACGACGAAGACGAAACACATACAAAACTATAGGACCAATAGAACCAATAGCACCAATAAGACTGCCGATAACAGCGCCAGTTCTATTCTGTGTTTCGTCTGCGTCGTTCGCGATTTTCAAGTGTCCTCTAATATAGTACTTGCCAATATCAAAGTCTCATGATGGATAACTTCAAGCCGACAAAGAGAAGCGCTGCTTCATTGCCGTACTATTGTTTTTCATCGCAGGGTAAAGGCATGATGCGCACCTATTTCCTGGAAGCAGAGGACCCTCCTTTCTCGCCGGACATAGGCTTGCAGGGAACATTCTTCACAAACGAGCACCTGATGCGCCAGCTTTGAAAGGGACCAACTTCCATCGAGTGGCTACGTACCGGCACCAATCGTCCGCATCGTTTTTCACCATGCGTTGTCGCACCTATCTACTAAGCGGCATAAGAACGACCTCACAAAGAATCGAATCGTTTACGCAAGTGGCAGTATCGACTTGGCTGGTTGTCAGAGCCCGCAACAAACGTGGTTCAGCCACGACTGTTCATTGGAGAAGAGGCACGCGACGGGGATCTTTGCGAACCACGCCTCACTTTCTGCTTTTTCGATTGTACCTAACCTGTTGTACGCATAGGCACTCGTCCACGGCTTCCTGATTTTGTCTACAACTCGACCGAACATTCAGTGCGATTCGATGTCAACTAAATCAAGCTAGACATTGTGCTTTATTAGTTCAAAAGCTATACAGTGCGAGTATAATGCTTGGTCAACTCACTATAGGCAAATACAAAGACAGGCTAAATTGAAGATTGAAGCTTGAAAGGAGGAGTAACAATGATACAAACAGAAATGTCGCCCAAGATGGCGTTTCGACATAGGAGTTTGTCTTCATCAGGGCCGCGACTGATGACGAAACAACTGATGCCGCAATGAAGACAAGCCCCACTATTGGCTGCAGGGACGTTCGTTTTTTTTTTTTTGCCATAGTTTAGAAATAGGAAAATGTTCACTACTCAAGCATTGACGTTGTCACTTCTCTCCAGACAAGCCACCATCATGGGAAATCGTAATGTCCTTATGATCACATTCTTTCGAACGTATGCCTACAAACACTGCACATCACTTGACTTTGTTTCTGTATTTTTTTTCTGTTTTTGTGCATGTACATGCACACGATGGCGTTAATGTTATCTTTACACCTGCCAACAAGCTAGGTAAGATATGTCCCTCCATGCAGAAAAATACTAAGTAGGTGGCTGATAAAAAGCGCACTGACATTTGTTTCGTTTAAGCGCCGCAACAAATTCGCAGACTGCCGTATTGGTGTTGCCTGTAAGGTCCCCTTAGGCTGCGATGGGCCGCTGTGTTAATCAGTGACTAGAGAGGTTGTTAAATGGAGTATGACCATCTAATCTCTCTCTACTTCGTCGAGAGCGCCACTGCATGCCAGAATCCGACGAATGAGTTTTGTCATACATGTACACGAAGCAGAAGTGCGTCTAATGGTTGAGGCCTGCTGGCCTATCGATAGTGCACGAGTGAGCCAGCTTTTGGTTCACACACATAAAGAAGAAATGGAATTCCTGTGTGATTATTTCTCGCATGGACAGCTCGCGTGATCCAGGTCGCCAGATGGCGCTACCATACGTGCGTGCGTGCAAATAAGTTTTAGTGCTGACTTTTCCGCCGCAGTGTGTCCTTTCTGGTGATAATTGGCGTCTGTGTTCCCCTTGTTTTTTTTTGTTTTTTGTCCATGTTTGCACACCTTGCCATTTTTCTAAAGAATCTTTACCGACTGTGTCAGATTCGGGTTATTTTAATGCCTGAGTGCTACTTATCAATGCCGCGTTTCAGTTCGCCTTTTTAAAACAACTTGTGGTGGGTTCCTGTACTGAATGCTTATGGTGCAGTTTTTCGTCCAATGGCCAGATTGTTTCCACCCTGTAAAAAACAGAGAAAGATATAAGATGCGACTCATTCAAAAAAAAATGTGGTCCTTGTAGGAGGCCACAAAACGAAATCATGCATTCTTCTCAGAAACTGAGCTCTCTGGTCCAGAAAACATACGTCCTGGCTAGCCGACTAAACTCGGGACCAATACCGTTCGGGCATGGTCGTTGTACCATTTAATGCTAAGCAAGAATTCGGAAGGTGGCAACGTAAGGTCAACTTATTCAATAACTAGAGGCACATGGAAAACAACTACGACGCCTCATCTCTGGGTAAATCCGTGACAAGAAGGAAGTTTGATGAAAGACAAAAATATTGCCTGTTTAAGAGTGACGAAATCCTGTTCTAACAAAACTACTTTCCCCTTGCGGATTTCCACATAATTTATTTGCTTGAAAGAGACAAAACACCACTTGTACTAAACAGAATAAATTTAGGAACACTTGCAGTAGAAAGTTAGCAGATGAGTGGCGACACCAGTGAAATAAATTTGTCGCTCGAGTGGTTGTCTGTACACAAAAAGCAACAATATGTGCTATTTGTGCGTAAAACCCCCACTACGATTCGCGCTGGGCTGCAAGAAATCTGTAATAATAACCCACTACATGTCAAAAGTACAGTGCTACTGTCTGGATTTATTGTTCCATCGCATGCATGCCTAATTGAGGACCAGTCTTGCAGAACTGACACATATAGAGCAGTGTCGCTTTTTGTCACACGGACAACCTCTTGAAGTCACATGTTCTATAACAGTTCATGCGGATAGCTGACGTTCGTGTCTATTTTATGTCGTTACAATCATGTTGATGCTTGTATCGTGATCCGCCTCGACTTGATGTACGCTGATCTGCCATTAGGATGAAGTGTAATCAATGTTATCGTCAATACGTGCTACCTCCAGCTGCATGTGTTTCATGGCAACCTTCCCTTTATATCTTTGTCTGCACTCCTATAAGCATCTACTCGTTGCCGCAGCGCACGTCATGATTTTGTTGGGCAGACTGCAGCTTCGAGCAAAGGGCAGGCTCCAGGTTGTTCGTCGTCTTGGTGTGCCCCACTTGCCAAGCTTTACGGTACTGGTCGATCCTACTGGTCGAGAACTTGTGACGCGTGATTGATGGCAGCCTTCCCAACAACTGCTTATTTTGCGTCGGCCCCATCTGTGTGGAACAATCCTTGCTCGGTGGCTTTCAATCTAGTCATGCCAAAAACAGTGTCGTTGCCGGCGAACATGTTATGTGCACTTTCCTGCTCCCAATGCACGCGCACTTGTCGCTGTTTTGTGCTCGATCAGCTTTGATACTGACAGTCACGCACGATTTATACGAGCGTGACCGACACCGCAGTGTTGTCATCTTACGTGCTGTCGTGGTCTCGTGTGCAACCCTCCTTCAGTCATGATTGTACAAGCACATTTCTGTCAATAATTCGAGCAAATAAAATGCACCAATACGTGTCCTGTTGTCGCACGAGCGCAATCGGATCTGCGTGCGCAGAAACAAGGTGGTAAGTGCGGCTCTGGGCGTACACGCCACGCGCCGTGAACATTACCGCGCGGCGAAATGGGTAATACGCGGGCGGCCTGGATGTGCAATGTGCGGAGCATACACGCGGTTCATTCCCCGTGAACGCCCGTCGTCTCATATTGTGAGCGACGTTTCCCAGTAAATAATCTATAACACCGTGGCAGACATTGACTCTACGTCGTAAATGAGCGCTTCGGCCTATATCTGCAGGGTCGACTCGATCCTCACTGTGGGTCGTCAAAGCAGTATACGAGAGACCGCAGGACTCGCGCCGCGTTGAGCAACGACACACGAATTGTGCAAGTATACGCTGAGCAGATGTCTGCGTCAAGCCGAGTAGCGGACCAATACGAGCGAAGAAAGCGCGAAGCAGTCAGGGGCCGTGCGCCTCATTAGCGCTCATGCCTCGTCTCACTTCGCTGCGAGCCCACTTCGCCGACGAAATTAATCCTCCGAGGCCTCGTTTTCTATAACTTTTGCGCAAATGAAGCGAGGCATTCGGTCTCAATGCAAGCCGTCTATACCTATACCGAACGCATACAAGAACACGAACGTATCGTTCGTAATCGAGCAAGTTAAATCCGCGCCCTCCGTTGCTGCGCCTATTCTGGCCCCACTGCAGCTATTAGTAGCTATTAGTATTGTGATGTCCTAACACACACAAACACACACGCACACACACACACACACACACACACACATATATATATATATATATATATATATATATATATATATATATATATATATATATATATATATATATATATATATACATATATATATATATATATATATATATATATATATATATATATATATATCGCCACACCGCGGTGGTCGGTGGTCTAGTGGCTAAGGTACTCGGCTGCTGACCCGCAGGTCGCGGGTTCAAGTCCCGGCTGCGGCGGCTGCATTTCCGATGGAGGCGGAAATGTTGTGGGCCCGTGTACTCAGATTTGGGTGCACGTTAAAGAACCCCAGGTGGTCGAAATTTCCGGAGCCCTCCACTACGGCGTCTCTCATAATCATATGGGGGTTTGGGGACGTTAAACCCCACATATCAATCAATCAATATATATATATATATATATATATATATATATATATATATATATATATATATATATATATATATATATATATATATATATATATATCACATGCATGTGTGTGTGTGTGTGTGAGAGAGAGAGAGAGAGAGAAGATGACGTGCAGCTAGCAGCATGGGTCAGTGCACCAAGGTAAATATTCTATGCGAGAAACCAGTTCATCACCGCCAGCAGTGTGAGGGTTCGTCATTCTCGGGTGGCACCTAGCCATGGACAGCAACAGACAGACGAGCGCGTGGCCGATAACATGCCATCCGCACTGCATCAGCAGTCATGTATAACTGGCCGCCCTTTGTGGCGTTTCGTTTTATTTTCCGTCCTTTCGAAGTGGTGGCCTTTTTTTGGCTATTTCTAGGGATTTCACACGTAATTCATCCTTCGCTGTTCTTTCACTTTATAAATGCATGCTCGGGCATATGACTAAATGAAAGACGCCAATCTAAAGAGACGAACAAGGCACCACATCAAATAGATTTGCGTGTAGAAAAGAAATGCAGGAACGCGTTGCCAAGAACAAGTAAAGAAGCCGTGAAATGAAGACTTCCAGTAACGTATATTTTGAATTAGCTGTGGAATAATCATGCAGAAAGATGTGCTTGCTGAACAGCCAATATTATTTTGGATTCATCGTTCACTGATTTGCCAAATTGAGAGCCATTGCCAGTTCATGTTGTTATTTGGGAAGCTGCGTGACAATACGTTGCCACCAGCCCCGTTTGCAACCACGCTGAGCAGTCTGCTCGTCGGGTGGATTTGAAAAGGAGCCAAAACTGTGGGTATAAACAGCACCTAAAGCAGCCATGCCACCACTTTAGCGCCATATCGGTTGCCAAACAAAAAAGCGATATCATAAATATTT